TAGATAGATAGATAGATAGATAGATAGATAGATAGATAGATAGATAGATGATAGATAGATAGATAGATAGATAGATAGATAGATAGATGATAGATAGATAGATAGATAGATAGATAGATGATAGATAGATAGATAGACAGACAAGGAGGAGGAGAGAAAAGAAGTTAAGCCACTTTTCAGCTTTCTTTGCTCTACTGATTTTGCAAAGAAAGCCAATGAGAAGTCAGCCGAATTGCACCCCAGAATCCTGGAAGGGCTGGCAGTGGGGGCAGCAGGTGCCTCCAGAGCGAGGGAGCAGGGCGAAGCGCATGAGCACTGACTGACCCCTCCTCAGAAGCAGCGGGGCTGGTCTCTGGCTCTGGGTGGCACAGTCAAGGCACCACCGCTCCCCACCTGGCTGCGGGTGGAAAGGTGGAAGGTTCTTGGCTGGGGACCTCCATCCACTCCATCCACCCCTTCCCTCACCACTTCCCTGCCTTAAGGGAACTTGCGGGGAGATATTCCAAACTTCCTAAAAGGCCAAGTGCTAAAGAAAGAAACTGGTTGGCTCCTTTGAGGACTCCATCGTTCTTTTTTGCACATCTCTGCTTAGATCCTCAGGGAGAAGCCAGAAGCAAAGTCAGGTTTCCAGGAGAGGAAGGAGCGCACTCAGAGAGGCCCTGGACATGCACAGTTACCCGCACCGGGCACTCCCGCCTCCAAGAACGACTCGTTTTGGCACCGGCTGTGTGCGTCCACCCCTGACTCCACTTGAATTCTCTATCATAAGTTTTGGTTTTGCCTGGAAATATTTTATGCCACTGTGAAGATATTTGAGGAAGAGCCAAAGGGAGCCGAAAGCTGCTTGGAGCCTCCTCTGTGATGAGCACTGTTCTCAGATGGCTGCTTCTGGTCTTGACCCCTGTCCTGCATGAGGTGTGCTAGGTCCGCTGTGAGAGGCAGGAGGCTGGATGCCGTCAGTTCCTCCTCGTCCTGCCATAGCAGAGGAGTGTGAGTCCCCACCCCACTGATGTTCACACGACTTCCCGGGGCATGGGCGGGCCTGAATCCCAGCCCTCTGCCTGAAGCAAAGCCTCCCAGCTGAGCGCAGCCTGGTCAGCCGAACCCTAACCGAGCTGTAGACCGCAGAGTAAGAAAAAATGGTTGGGAGTCGCTGAGTTTGGGCTGGTTTGTTACACGATAACATTGCGGCTACAGTTGACTTACACAGAGAGGTTAAATGACTCACCTGGAGACACACAGCTATGAAGCAGCAGCCCCGCGATCATCCCCACTGCCCTGGGTCCTTGTACTAACTGGCCTCAAGCTGGGCATGGGTGGAGTCACAGTAACTTCCTAAAGGAGGACCCAGGATGCAGGTGCTGGGACTATTTGGGGATAAAAGGCAGGACTCAGTGACAGCAGTATCCTAATCCCGCCAGTGAGCAGAGAGCACTGTCCCATCATCCCACAGCAGGACTGTTCGCAGGCCAGGTCCTGGGAGAGTGCCAGCCTCCTGAGTCTGGCAGGAGGGCGCCTGGGGGCAGGTCCAGCCCCCCTGGCACTGTACAAGCTGGAGGGCCCTGCTGGGAGGCCTCGGGGACTCCAAGACCTGCCCACACCAGGCTGCTTTCTCAGCACCACTAGGTCGAGTCAGCAAAAAACACTGTGCTGGGCCACACAGTGCCTTTGTGCAGAATTGCAAAAAGATGCCCGCTCCAGATGGACATAGGTGGCAGGGCTTGGCCAGGATGACTGAGGCAGCCTCTGCATGAACTTAAAAAAGGCATTGTTTCCTCCAGTCAGGCACAGCCCAAGGAGAGAGTATGGCTGGATTTCAGCCCCTTCTGCCCTTGGACCAAGTGCCTTGCTTAGGACACAACCTGAACAACCAGACGCAGTAGCTCTAGAAGAGCAGGGTCGATGCCTCTTTGGCTCCTGCTGCCTGACAGTGAGCCCCACCCAGCAGTCAAGCTAAGAGCTGGCTCTGTCTCCCTGGCTCCCAGGACAGCAGCAGCACACAGTAGGCCCATAGCAGTCAGTGTGTGTGCCATGGATGGACTATCAGTGACAATGGGGAGTGGCTACTCTAGGCTCCTGTCTGCAGCGTCCCCTCGTGTGTGTCAGGCTGGGGGTGGGGTATTGATCTGGAGTCTGGTCCAGTGTCCAGCAAACACCAGGAACCCAGCCCCGGGGCTGGGCATGGGGAAGCAGCAGCAGCTGGGAGCCCAGCTCCCCCAACCCCTGCTCTCAGCCCCGCACCTGCTGCCTGATGCTAAATTACTCTCGGCCACTCAGACAGAGCCATGGCTCGAGGGCCCCAGGGAGCAATGGGCTGAGGTTCTGTAGCAGAGGAGGGAGTTGATATGTGTTGGGAGGGAAAGGAGAGGAGAAAAGATGCGCTGGGAGGATGGGGGAGGGGGATCAGCTCCAGGCAGCAAAGCTGACCTCCACTCTCACCTAGGCTTCCCTGGGCAGGCAGTGCATGGAGAGGAGAGGGCTCTGGAGCGTCACGTGCCAGCCTGTATTCGATTCGTTCATTTTAAAAAGGGTCAAATCAAGTAAAAGGTACTGGCCCAAGCAGCAGGGATGCAAAATCTTCCGGATAAACAAACGTGGACATTTAGGGAACAGAAGATGCCCAGATCAGCCCACCTCCAGAAGGCCCAGACAAAACAACCCTCAAATCCAAGGGAAAGGCAGTTCCAGAAAAGACGGACCAGTGGAACGGACCAGAGATGCTGGCTGGGAGGGACCCGAGAGAAGCCTCAGCAGCCACAAGCGTTGAACTCCTGTTACTTTCAGGATTAAAGCTGAGAAGGAAACCTCTGGACAGGCTTGTTACAACCCCTGCAGACCTCCGCTGACTTGCCCTGTGCACAGGCCCGAAGCAGCAGCCTTGCTTCCCTCTGACCCCTGCTGTCTTCCTCCTGAGCTCCTCAGCTGTGAGCGTGTCTCCCTCTGAGCGCCACCCCCCCACCTCTCCTTCCCACCCGCACCTTAAGTGATTTGTTTTCATTCTGTTTTTTAAAAATGACACGCATGGAGATAAAGCAGTGGCGGCACTTCCGTAGCTCTAAGCATGTCACAGGGCCCCCCCTTGAGTGCTTCACAGATGCTAACTCACTCACGCCTCACCACCGCCCTTGGAGGCAGGCATCCCCATTTTACAGACGAGATCACCGAGGCGGGGAGAGGCGGGGTAAGGGGAAGAGCTGGGATGCAAAGCCAGGCGGAGGTGTGTGCTTGGCTTCTGGGTCACCTGCCTCCAGCGTTACAGGGGAAAGGACGAGGGGTGGTCACACACCTGGGCTGTGAATGCCACCGCTGGGCACTGGCCACGTGATACCTTTCAAGGCTCCACGAGATAAGATGATGTCACAGGGCTGTAATTTCCATTTTCCCAAGAGGAAGCCAGGCCTGAAGGGGCCTGGGCAGAGGGTCCACAGCCGCTGCGTGGTGGATGGGGATAGGAGCGCAGGACCATATCAACCTTCCTGGCTCAGCCCAAAGGCCACTTCTCAGCCCCTCACCAGCCTCCAAACTGCCCAGTGCTCTATCAGTCATCTCCGGCAGCCAGATCCCAGTCTCCTAGCTGAGATCACTCCTGCCTGTGAGCACCTGCAGATGGAAACGGAGCTGGCTCCTCCGGTGGAGGCAGGAAGCAAACACCTGCTTGCTAACTCCCATCTCCCCTACTCAGAAGCATCCCCATCAGCACAGGGCCCTGTCTGTGATGCTAAATGGAATCCACACATCACAGGTGGGTGCTGGCAGGGTTGGGGGCCCCAGGCACCCCCAAGCTCTGCAAGTAGATTCAAAAACTGCTACAACTTCAAAGAGAGGTGAGGAGTCAAGTGTGGTCAAGGCCAGCAAAAAGACAAACGTTAACCTCCTCTGACCCACAATTCCCTCTTAGCAATTTACCCTCAGATACACAGTCATGCATATAACCACAGGGATAGGTTGTGAGAAGTGTGTGGTTAAGTGATTTCCTCATTGTGGGAACATCAGAAAGGGTCACACAGTAGGATCACAAAAAAGGCAATGTCTTCCTTCTGGAACCTTCCACTCCAGGATTACAGAAAGCCATGTATCTCTACCACCACTTCCTACCCCAACCCCACCTGGGCTTTTGCTCATGATTTCTCCTAGCTTGGAGGCCTCCTCTCCCAGGCTGATCCCTACTCATCTCCAGGGCTCAACTCAGAGGGCACTTCCTCCAGGAAGCCCTCCCTGACTGCTCACTGGTCAGCTGCTCACTCCATGGCCCCTGGGCCTTGTGTTGTCCCTGTTCATGTCACTCAGTCAGAGCAGACTCTGGAGGACAGGAACCTGGAGTGAGACTCCTGTGATTAGACCCCAGGCCTTCACCTGTCCTGACAAATGCTCAGAGAAACATCTGCTGAGCAGAACTCCTTTGCGGCTCAAGCAGAAGGCCTCCCAGGAGCACAGGAAAATGAGCCAGGCAGCAGGGAGGGACCTTACTCTAATGCTTCTGCTGCTTGGCCTCGGGCCACGCCAAGCCTCTCCTCTGATTTGCTTCAAAGCCGAGGTGGGGCCCCTTTGTGCAGTGGGGGAAGGGTGCATTTACCTTGCAGGGTTAGGACTCCGCCTCCAGGGAAGTCCACCATTGTTGTTTGCTGACAGTCCGTGTGACAAATTGTTTTCTGCTGCAGAGCCAGACTGGATGCCTGGCTGGTCTCCAGAGGCCTCAAGGTCACTCGTAGAGTCATTCCCTGCCGTGGGGCAGCCTGAGACCAGCTCCTGTGTGCCAAGTTCCTGCATGAACCCGCTGGGTCGCCAGAGCAGGTCCTGCCCTGGAGCATCTGATGGGTGGCAAGGAGTCACTGTGTGCCCTTCCAAGGGCTGGGGTCTACAGACCAGGCAAGGAGAATGCAGGAGTCCGCCATCCTGCACTGTAAAAGCGTCCCAGGGAGCCACGGCACAAAGCTTGAGCCGACCCAAAGTGCTAGACAGACCCAGATGGGAATTCACGGCCTGAGAGAGTAAGTGGCTTCTGCCTTGGAAACATGATTTATTAGAAGATCGTTGGGTTAAGCTGCAAAGGTCATCTTGGCTTGCTTTAATGGATTTCCTGGGTTGCCTTTCTGCCCAGGCCCAGCACGTGAGCGCAGCAGTGGGGAGCATGAAGTGACAAGACGCCGGACCTCTGAGCTCCTGGGAGTCCTGGAGACGGCACCACACTGCATCTCGCTGGCTCAGCAAGGGCTCAGCTGGCTGTCCTCAACTGTACCGGGTTTCTGTTCTCTCTCCGTCATGTTCCTGATGCTTAAAGCTAATGACGTTGTCCCAAAATACAGAGCGAGGTAGAAGGCGGATCACCAAACCAGTGCTGCAGGTCACTTCCTGCTTGGAAATTATAGGGAAGCCCTGGGGTGGTCGAACCGACAAAGGGATCACCGCAGTGGTTTTCAATCTGGGGATTCCTTGAGGGGTGGTAACGGGGCCACAGGGTCTCCAGGGGGGCCCCTGAAAACCTAGGTGAACAGCATCATCTTTACTTCTTCCCCAGCAGCATCTAGCCAGACACTCGCACAGCAGTCACTAAATGCATATTGAATAAATAAATAGACAGATCTGTGGGTAAATCAATCCGGGAATACATGGATGAATGTGCTAACCCATCAGAAAACCCCATAAACGAATTTAAAGGGTGGAACTCAATGTGCTGAGGCTGCCTTTCTTACGTCTCAATGGCTCCCCAATTTTCCTCAAAATAAAACCCACTAGTTTCTATAACTGTACAACATAAGTCACATGAGATGCTAACATCAAGGGAAGCCCGGGGAGGAGTCTGTGGGAACTTTGTGTAATTTTCATTTCCAAACAAAAAGCTAACCTACGTTAAAATAAATCTACGCACGTTGACACTTCCTGGGGAGCCCTCAGTTCCTCGTCCTCGTCCTTGTTTGTCCTTCCCGGAAGGGACAGCCACTTCCAGGAGGGGACAGAATTGGAGAGGTAGTGGCCTTGGGCTTTTCCTTAAGCCCCTCCTCGGCCCGTTCCCAAAGAGAGAGGTGGCATCTCTGGTGGGTGAGCCTGGGTCAGGGTCTGGTGTGTGTCGTCCAAGCCCCCTGGACTCTCTCTTTGGGGGGCTGCTCTCAGGATGGAAGTGCTCTTCTCCTGGGTCACCCACCTGATTCGGGGCATGAGTCTTTGTTCTCGGGGGAAGGAAGGGGTGTTGGATGGAAACGAGGCAGTGACTGCTTGTAGCTGGCTTGACAAGCGCATGCTTTACCCACTTCCCCTCCAGGGGAACATCTGCAGTTCAGTTTTATGCCTCAGGGCCTTTGCACATGCGTTCCCTCATATGGCAGCACCCTTCCCACCTCACCCACAGGACGCTGCTCAGCCATTCCTTTGTGGCTGACTTCCAATTCTCCCAAGCCAAGTAGAAGTGACCCTTGCCTTCATCCTGTCGCTCAGGGCACAGGTGACACTTGTGTGCGTGCTGATTTACTCACAGGAGTATCTCTCCCATTGTCCTGTGAGGTCCTGGAGCTGGGATCAACATTGACTCATCTCTTCTCCTACATACCACATGGCCTGGCATCCAGTGGATATCGACAGACATTTTTGGAGTGAATGGACTGATTAGAAAGTTCTGGTTGGTTTTAATGTTTTTAAATGTAAAATATGTAATGATTTAAGTTAGGGATTTCACTTAGTAGACAAAAAAAAAATCCTTTAAAACAAGGGAAGGACCCCAGGGGCAGAAAAATCACAAAACAATTCTTCATGGCTGATCATGTTCAGAGCTGCGAGATCCGTCCTGGGCTCTTGGCCTCAGCATTGGCGAACCTCGGGCTGTAATTCTTTGCCGCAGGAGGCTGGCCTGGGTATTGTAGGATGTTTCATAGCATCCCTGGCCTCTACCCACCAGATGCCAGTAGCAGCGTCCCAGCTGTGACAACCCAAAATGTCTCCAGACATGGCCAGATTTTCCCTGGGGGCTAAAACAGCACCCAGTTGAGAACCTCTGGGCCAATCATTCAATAGGCTTTGGTACAGTAAATATTTCCTCTGCTGCCTCGACATTGCCGAAGCCAAACTCCTCAGAATTTGCCAGGCACAGGCCAGCATTTCTCTCAGGCTCTGACATTGAACAAAAAATCCCTAAGCCGAAGGCAAAACCACTTGCCACTAAATGAGGACTTTGATTGCTGCCAATTTCTTAAAGCACTCTCTGAAGGTTCTGCTTCAAATATTTATGGAGTCTATGAAATGGCTCCGGAGAATGAGTGGCCCTATTACATTTATAACTCCAGCGGTGATTTATGGACCTGGGAATTGCTGCAAATGCTTTGTCTAAGCTCTTGGTGAAAAGCCAGGATCCTCGCTGGGCTCAGGAGCTCGGAGGGTGCTGGGGCGTCATCGGCTTGGAGGGCAGGACAGGGCATTCCGCCTTCTTCTTGCAGACGTTGTGCGGAGAGTCCTGGTTCCACGGTGACCGCTGCCAGGCACGTTCCAGGATCAAGCGTGGACACCAAGGACAGAGGGAGCTGCAGGCAAGAGGACAGTGAAATGGTCTCTGCGTCCAAATGTTTGTAAAAGCCCCTCCGTTCACACGTTTAATCAAAGGAAGAGACGACAAGGATAGCTAACAGTTACGGGGCACTTTCTGCGCCTGGCACCAAATACTCTTCACACATTGGCTCACTTCCTTTGGTGACAGTTCAGTGAGACACACGCTGTCCTCACTGTGTTCTGGGTCAGAAAATGAGATTGGGGCAGCGTGAGCCTCCCCCTCCACGTCATGTGGCAGGTGCTTGACAATACAGTCAAGAGTCCTGTAGAGTGGATGTCCTCTATAAATTTTCTGCTTCCCAGTGACGAGAGAAAGTGACTTTCCCTTGAAAGAGGAACTAATGTCTTGCTGGTTGCAAACCTCATGCCCAGCACATCTCAGGGCTTTCCCCAAATGTGCCATCTTACTTGCCTTCACTTAGTTCCCCCAACAAGCTATCATCAGGCCCACTCTATAGATGAAAACCCACTTAACAGTTTGAGATTCTAAATGCCTTCACTAAATGCATTAGCTCTGAAGCGGCTGGCTCAGAGTTCAAAGCTAAGCCCATCTGATTTCAAATCTCCACTCTTTCTACGTCTCCTTTCCAGTCACTATTGTGCCTGTGATCCCTTCACGACCAGCATCTCACACCTCTCAGGCACCTTTTCTGCAAATGACAGGAAGGACCGCCTCACCAGGTAACATGTGAGTCCTGCTAATGCCCCTTCTCCTTCCTCTAAAGGGTGTGTCAGGTGTGTCTGTGCCTTGCCAGACAGATCTGCAGAATGGAGTCAACTTCTCCACCAGTCCCAGGAGGCAAGAGCAGCCGCAGGTTTGCAATGTGCAGGGCCTTCTGCCTTGCCGGTGGAAGACGGCTGAAGAAGAGGCTGGACAGCAGAGGCAGGGAATCGGCGATCACTATGTGGCAAGCCTGACCCTGTCCCTGCCCTCAAAGCACTTCCAATCCAGTGGGGGAGGCAGACACATAAACTCGATATTATGCTGCAGTGTTCAAGCCCAAAGAGAGACCCACGGTGCTGACGAAGCCTCCAGGACAGAAGTGACGATTGCACACTGAAGATCTGGGAAGGCCTCATGGAGGCAGTGTCTGAGCTCGGCTTTTGGGGAGGAGCAGGATTCTGTTATGTGTTTAAAACGCAAGGTCATTCTGGGCTGACTAATGTGTGCATAGAGTCTGGACTCCATCTTATAATAATAATAATAATGACAGTCGGCCTGGCTCATGCCCGTAATCCCAGCACTGTGGGAGGCTGAGGTGGGTGGCTCACCTGAGGTCAGGAGTTCGAGACCACCCTGGTCAACATAGTAAAACCCTGTCTCTACTAAAAATACAAAAATTAGCTGGGTGTGGTGGTGCACGCCTGTAATCTCAGCTACTCAAAAGACTGAGGCAGGAGAACCGCTCAAAGCTGGGAGGCAGAGGTTGCAGTGAGCCGAGATCGTGCCTCTGCCCTCCAGCCTGGGCAACAGAGGGAGAATTCATCTCAAAATAATAACAATAATAATAATAATAATGATAGTTTAAGCAATATGAAACTACTGTTTTTGAGGGAAAGAGTAGTATAATATTGGCAATTTCCTAGGGTTCGATCTACAACAGTTTACTGAGTTCTTATGACGTATCCTTCCAAGGGCTTTCCATGCATTGATTCATTGCATCTTTACAAAATACCAAGGAGATAAGTGTTATTATTATTATCCCATCGTACAGATGAAGCAACAGAAGCTCAGAGAGGTGAAGTGATGTGCCCAAGGCCACACAGCTACTAGGAGGCTGCTGCAAGATTTGAACTCAGGCCATATGGCTCTCAAGCCTGCATGAACCCCCACCACAGTAACAGCTGAACCCTGGGATGCAGTGTTGGATGTTCAGTGGGTGAGTGATAGGATGAGGCTGACATTACAGAGGGCTAAACATTTCCTCATTCACTAAAGATTTGTCAGCCTTTTCAGGACATGTTTGTATACTCTTAAGCTCTCTTCTCCTCTTTTCGCTAAGCTCAACCATACAGTAATAGAATTGTGTGACATGTGACAAATTTAGTTACTGCCCTTCAAAACTCCATGCCTCATTTTCCTTGTAGATCACGAATCTCCTGGTGTCATTATTTAACAAGTTTGTTTTCAGCATGGGAAGCTCTTCCCCAAAACCAGCCCAGATACGTGGCTTGCGGTCTGTTTTTGCCCAAGGCAAGGAGCTGTGTTCCCAGATGCTCATGATGACTGGACAGAACCAAGACTGCAGCGAAAATGTAGTGCTGGGAACCAGGGGCAGGTGCCGTGCGCCTTCCAGAGAAAGAGCCTGATGGCCCCTGTCTCTGGCTAACTACTCACCCAACAATTGCTTCTGAAGGCCTCCTGCGGGCCAGGTACCATGCAAAGCATGGGGGAAAAGTTTAAATTGACATTCTGCTATCTTGCTGCAAAGAAACGTAAGTCCCCTATGGACTTGAAATGATTTCCAACAGAGGAAATCATTTCAAGTCCATAGCATTTCCAGTCCAGTGGGATGCTGTGTCTGTGGTGATGACTTTGACGAAAGCTGAAGAACACCCGGCAAACTTGGAACCATAAGGGTATTGAGATGCGTTTTTGGTTTATCCGTTCATGCAACATGTTACTTCACCTACTTCCTCAGAAGCTTTGCTACAGGTTTCCGGCCAGTATCCCGAGAGCAGACACTGGAGAGTTTGTTCTCACACTGAGCTCCAGATTGGAACTTTGAGGGAGGGAGGAGGGGACTGTTCCTTCCCCCCTAACCCCGCCCCATCCAGGCCACGCACCATCTGGCCACATAACGATCAGTGGGTCAGAGGGAACCAGGCACCCTGGGTTGGGAGCCCAGCCTAGTCCAGCCGCTTATGAGCTGGGTGAAATTTGCCCCCTCTGTGCCTCATCTTTTCTCACAGGTAAAGTGGAGCTGATGCTGATATCTGTTTGGTGAGCCCTTTGTGGGACTGGATGAGCCAATGCCGGCGCAGTAAGATTTGGGTGTGTTTTCTGTTTCGCTGCTGTTGCCATCACTGTTGTCATTATCCTCTTCTCATCTCCTCTCTACCTCCTCATACTTCATGCTCCAGCGATGTTGCTTGCCATGCCTCCAAATGCCTCATGGGCACTCACCCTCCCATCTCTTTGCAAGTGTTCCCTTCACCTAAAATGTTTTCTTCTTTTTTTTTTTCTTTCTTTCTGTTTCTTTCTCTCTCTCTTTCCTTCTTTCTTTTCTTTTCTTTCTTTCTTTCTTTCCTTCCTTCTTTCTCTCTCTCTATTTCCTTCTTTCTTTCTTTCTTTCTTTTTCTTTCTTTCTCTCTCTTTCCTGCTTTCTTTTCTTTTCTTTCTTTCTCTTTCTTTCCTTCTTTCTCCTTCCTTCCTTCCTTCCTTCCTTCCTCCCTCCCTCCCTCCCTCCCTCTCTCTCTCTCTCTCTCCCCCTTTCTCCCTTTCTCCCTTTCTCTCTTTCTTTCTTTCTTAGATGTAGTCTCGCTCTGTTGCCCAGGCTGGAGTGCAGTGACACAATCTTGGCTCACTACAACCTCGGCCTCCAGGGTTCAAGCAATTCTCCTGCCTTGGCCTCCCGAGTAGCTGACACTACAGGCATGCACCACCATGCCCAGCTCATTTTTGTATTTTTAGTAGAGACGGGGTTTCACCATGTTGGCCAGCTAGTCTCAAACTCCTGACCTCAAGTGATCCGCCCACCTCAGCCCCTCGAAGTGCTGGGATGACAGGCGTGAGCCACTGCGCCCAGGCTGCCTAGAATATCTTCTACCCGCTGCCGATAAGGTAGATCAAAATTAAAAATCAGAGGTAATTAACCTAGGAATGATAAAAACTTTGTTTTTATTCCTAGATAAGAAGTCATTTAAAATGAAATTTACCAGTCAGGAAAAAAAAGTTTAAGGTCAATAACAATCGCTATCATTTTTTTAAATACCTCCCCTATTTTTGATTCCAGGAACTGTAATAAATACTTCATATACATGATTTCACTGAACTGTCCCAACAAGCCTGCGAGGTAAATATTATTGTCTCTTTCATCTTTTAGATAAAATGAATTAACGTAATCATGGAGGCAGGAAAGAAGCCATAGGGATAAAAGAAGGGAGAAAAAATACAATCGGCTGAAATAAAATAAGAGCAGTTTTCCTTCTGAGTAATGGCTGCTTTCTGTTTTTTTTTTTTCTGTGAGCACCTCTGATGTGCCAGGCACACACTCAGCTCTGCCTGCCTGATTTCTCCTCCTAACAGTAACAGGCAGGCAGCTGCATTTCACAGCTGAGAGTTACATGCAGGCAGAGGAAGTACTTGCCCAACATCACACGGAACTAAAAAGGGGTAGGACTGGGACTTGAACTCAGATCTGCCAGACCCCAAAGCTCATAAGTAAAGTAAGTTTTCTCTGGGAAGACAGAGGGGAGTGCTGCTCTGGCAATGACTGATTGGGATCTTCGGGACCAAAGCTGCAGTAAGTGCAACTAGAAAAGCTAGGGGGACTGTAGCAAAACATTTGTCTGGAGCCATCTGAGAGCTACCAAGGATATGAGGACTTGTGGGACCAAACTTGAAAACAGAAGAGAAGCCAAAAAAAGCGGGCAGGACACTTGAGGACGTATTTCCCCTCGAGGTGAAGGCAGGGTCTGTGCAGGAAAGAGCCAACTGAGAAGGTGAAACGCTAAGGAGAGCTCTGAGCAGCCTCTTGGGTCCGGCAGGGGAAAGGGCTCTGAAATACTCAACAGGCTTTTATGCCCTAGGAGTGAGCGTGAACCAGAAACGCAGCAGACCTCCTGAGCACTGGAACTCCTCGTCGACTCAGCCCTGATGTGAGGAAGATGATCTGCCCTGACCAGAACAAAGGAAGTCCTCTGTGGATGGAGAGACTGTCAGGCCTCAAATTGTATCTTCAGTGTTTCATACATGAGGTCCAGCATCCACTAAAAGTCACCAGACAGCCGGGAGTGGTGGCTCACACCGGTAATCTCAGCACTTTGGGACGCCAAGGTGGGCAGATCAGGAGGTCAGGAGTTCGGGACCAGCCTGGCCAACAGAGTGAAACCCCATCTCTACTAATAATACAAAAATTAGCTGGGTGTGGTGTTGGGCACCTGTAATCCCCAGATACTTGGGAGGATGAGGCAGGAAAATTACTTGAAACCAGGAGGCAGAGGCTGCAGTGAGCCAAGATCGTGCCACTGCACTCCAGCCTGGGCAACAGAGCAAGACTCCTCAAAAAAAAAAAAAAAAAGGCACCAGACCTAGGACACATGATTTGACCAGAAACAAACATTGAAATTAGACCATAGAAAGAGACTGAGGGTGAAACCTGGGGGGCTGCTGGGGAGTGGGTTGTGTTCTATTTCTTGACTTGGTGCTGTCTTTCCAGGTGTATATCGCTTGGATAATTTGCTAAGCTGTACATGTGTTGTACTTTCAATAACAAAGTTCATTTAGGAAATGAGGTGACAGGTGCCTTCTCACCTTCAGAGAATCCAGCTGGGCTGTCTGTGCTGGCCACTCTGGCTCGGGAACAGGCCAGGACTCTGAAGACGATGAGCTTTGGAGGACACTGTCCATTTCAGGATTCAAGAGGTATGTCTGAGCTGGAAGGGAAAATTCTCAGTCAAGCCTCCACTCAGGAACCTAGGTGAAAAGTCTACAAGTGTCTGGGCCCTGCCATAACCTTCTTCACTCTCTAGCCATTCCCAGATCATTCCTAGATCCCATGCCCCGGGGCAGAGGCCCTCTCAGATGCCTTTGAGCTCTCCAAGCACATCACCCACACGCCTCTGATGGTGCTCTCATGATCTTGGAACATCCCAGAAATCTGCCTGCCTGCCTCGCCTTCCCCTACCTGGCTGCAAGCTCATTCCACGCAGGGACCACAGCCTGCACAAGCCGGCTTAGCTTCGTAAGCCCAGAAACACCTATGTGGGATCTGGCACGTGGTGGCCCTCCAGACATGTCCAGTGAAAAAATAACCCAATCGGTCTAGTACATGTCCTTCTTTGAAAGGGGATGAAGCTGAGCCAGAGAGGGGAGGAGACTTGCCTGGGGCCACAGAGAGAAAATTAGTGACAGAAGCAGACCAGCTAGGATCTGTGCCTCTCCAACTGTGAGAACAGGTGCCAAGTCAGGGTGTAGGGACAGAAGGCCAAGGTAGAGAAGGACAGGCCCATCCTGAGGCGTCAAAGACTGAGAACATTTTTCTCTGCTTGTGTACTGACATCATGCTATGTGCCAGGGGCCAGACATTCCAGAGGAAGGTCATGTTTTCCTCCTGTTAAAGAGTGTATGGCTCAGAGAGGTTAATGAACTCATCTAAGACCACACAGCTGGCAAAAATAGAATCTAGAAATAAGAACCACTAGATGAACAGATCTCAATAGCAGCTCGGTGTTAAAGGTAACACCATCCAGACGTTCTACATGTTTTTATCAAGCACCTGATCCAAACACAACACTAAACAAATCCTTGGGACCCCCATTCCACCCCCACACTGAGGGTAGTAAGCTGCACTTAAACAAGACCCAACCAAATACCACCTGTTTCCCCAAAACTATTGAAATAAAAAAAAGTAAAAGAAGGCCCAGGAAAATTCTGTCTGGTCAGGTAGTGGCTTAATTTTCTTTTTAATAATAAAAATAGGCCAGGCACAGTGGCTCACACCTGTAATCCCAGCACTTTGGGAGGCCGAGGCAGGCAGATCACATGAGGTCAGGAGTTCCAGACCAGCCTGGCCAACATGGAGAAACCCTGTCTCTACAAAAACACAAAAATTAGCCAGGCATGATAGTGGGTGCCTGTAATCTCAGCTACTGGGGAGGCTGAGGTGGGAGAATTGCTTGAACCAAGGAGGTGGAGGTTGCAGTGAGCCGAGATCACGCCATTGCACTCCAGCGTGGGTGACAGAGCGAGACTCCATCTCAAAAATAAATAAATAAATGAATAATAAAAATAACAGAACCAAAAAAAAAAGCACTCATGTTACCATCTCTCTGAGTAACCATGGCTAGTACTTTAGTTGCTGTCCTAGCCTAAGTTGCAGATCAGACCCAGACGTGCACATAGAATCATACAGTTATAATTATACGAAACATTCCATATCCTAACAGTTTTTTTTTTCTTTTTTTGAGATGGAATCCCACTCTTTGACCAGGCTGGAGTGCAGTGGCATGATCTCGGCTCACTGCAACCTCCTCCTCCCGGGTTCCAGCAATTCTCCTGCCTCAGCCTCCCGAGTAGCTGGGACTACAGGCGCCCACCACCACGCCCAGCTAATTTTTTGTATTTTTGGTAAAGACGAGGTCTCACCATGTTGGCCAGGATGGTGTCAATCTCTTGACCTTGTGATCTGCCCTCCTCGGCCTCCCAAAGTGCTGGGATTACAGGCACGAGTCACCATGCCTGGCCCATATCCTAATAGTTTTAAACTTAGAAGAACATGGTAATTCCCATGCTGTTGCATGGCGTTTTTCAGTACCATTTTAATGACTATGTTGTATTTCACTGATTATATGGGCTTGTTAACAATATTGAGGGTTTCCCCCAGTTTTTCACTATTATAGATGCACTGGCAGGAACACGCCTGTCCACAGAGTCTTTCCACGTACAGAATTATCTACCTTGGATGAGTTTCCAGGAGTGAAACTCTAGCGCTGAGGAATTTGAACGTTTGTATTTTTCCAGTGTGTTCTCATTGTGAAATAAGAAGACAACGCCACACAGGAAAGGAGGAGGGAGAAGTGGGTCCCATTCCTTTTAGTAGCATGAACGTGACAGTGGGCATCTCCCCCCTGGCCCACCAGTCACAGCGTCCTGCTGGCCTGGACTTAGTTTCTGAGTACACATGCTTTTCCTGATCAAAAATCACACTGACCTCTTAGAGCTGCCGTCATCTCAGACTTGATGTCCAGGTGGTGGCTTGTCTGCAAGAAAAGACATCTTGGCAGTTATTCCGCGTGGCACTGGAGGGACAGCCTTGCACAGAGGACGGCAACTGGGCCAAGCAGGGCCATCACCCCTCCCCGAAAAAACTGCATTCTGTGTAGGACCAGCCCTGCCTGTGTGCGCGAAGACCTCCTTCCTCTTCTCTCCAGGATGCTCGAAGGAGAACAGGAATTGGTTTTGTTCTTAGGAAACACGGGCACAGAAAAATGATTCCATTTCCTTTTCTCAAATTAAATCTCCAAATGGAGAGAGTAATAAAAGTGCTTTAGAAATCGCTATTAAAAAACATTTTAATGAGGACATCCGGCGCTCTGATGTCTCCCCTGGGGCCCCTGATTCAATCACCCAGGAATTCAGGTCGGGCTTGGGTCTGAGTGCACCACCGCACAGACCAGCGTCCTCCTGGTTCCGCACTGCACGGGGCGGGTGAGAAGTGAGATGGCAATGATCACTCAACGGATTGGCCCGCGGCCCCCAGGTGGTTGAGCAAGAACAACTGCTGCATCTTCAAGGCAGGTAAGAGTTGTTTCCAGACCGGCAGCCTGGATCTCGCTTCCTCCTGGGTGTTTCCGAGGGGGCAGGGGCCTGTGTGCAATGCTGCTGCGATAACTGTCCTCCCTGTCTCCACTTCCAACACCCTGGTCACACTCTTCCTCCAGGTATAGGAGGCCATCTCCATGTCTGGAAGGGCCCTGCCCTCTCTTTCGGTTTCTGGTGAACTTCTACATAGATGTCAAGGCCCAAGTCAAATGTTGCCTCCTCTGAGAAGTCTTCCCTGACTCCACCTGGCAGAGTTCAGCCACTTGCCTCTCACACAGCCCCTCCTCTGCTGCAGCGGCACCTGGGCTCTGTGAGGGTCCCCTCTAACCTGAATTGACTGGTGCAGGGCCTAATACTCAGGGACATGGGTAATGGCTCAGCCGTCTTCTGGTAGTGACCGGATCACACCAGCACTCCTGGGAGCCTTCGGTACCAGGCACAATGCCTGCTCCTGAACGGTGCTCTTAGAGCACTTTGCTGTCGCCCGTATCAACACTGCTGTGGCTTCAAGCACCATGGACTCTCCCACCCCCGTGCCTGTGCCCAAGCAGGTCTCGCAGCCTTGAGACCTTCACTCCATCCTTCCAGCTGTTAAATCCTGCTTTCTGTCCTTCAAGGCCTGGCCTGAGTGCTTCCTCCTCCTGGAGTCTGTCTCTCTCTCCTCTCTGCTTATTTCCAGCGCTTGAATGAATGCCTTTTATTGCCCCTGGGCTTAGAGTCAGGTGTCTCCTCATTAGAGGCTCCTTCAATGAGAGACTGAGGTTTTGTTTGCCTTCGTAGAGGATACACCGGCAGAGCAGCCTCAGGTGCACTCAACTGACTTCTGGGTGGCCCTGCATTCAGTATGTGATTGGGGTGCAAGGACCCTTGTCTGCTTCCAGCTCCTCAACTACCACATGGGCCTGGAGTGGCTGGAGAGGGGCTGTGTGAGAGGCAGAGCTGGGCTTTCTCAAACTGAGTCCTGGCTCTGCCACTCACTGATTCCGTGATCCTGGTCAAGTCAGTTGGGTTCTCTGAGCCTCACCCTCTCCATCTGCGGAACGGAAATACAGGACCAATATGCTCTTTGTAGGAGTCCACCAGAATGAGATGAGAAGGAACGTCCACTAAATGCCAGTGACACAGAGTAAGGGACAGATGAAGACTTGTGCTACACTCTCCCGAGCCCTGCCTCTCTCCCCACGCAGACTTTTAGGGGAATATTCTAAGTTCCATAAAGGCAGGAGTTAAAGAGAAAATAATTGCCTGGATCCTTGGAGGCCCAGGCTTGGGGATTTGCAGATTTAATGAATTGGGGGAGTTCAGGGTTTTGAGGGACAATTCTTCAATCATCTGAGTATGACTGCCCCTTTTTTAGACCAGATTCCATTTCCAACGGCCCGCAACTAGATCTCGTTGACAAATACCCAGAGGAAAGCAGGAGGTGGCAGGAGGAGGAAACAGCAGGGCGAGAGGAGGTAAAATTAGCATCTTCCTTACTAGGTCACCTACCTCTTTGCCCCGACCGGATGACTCTCCCCTGCTAGTGTGCCCAAGGCCCCTGGCTACTCCCAGGGGAGCAAAACTGAGGGTTTGCTTAGAGGTGCCCCAAAAGCTGTTGGGTGCCTGTGTGTGACAGGTGCGGTGCCAGGCATCTGACATGGGGTCTTATTCAAACCTCACAGAGCCCCATGGGGGGACAGCAGCCTCCACCCGGCCGAAGACGACAGGTGGCTTAGGCAGGTGAAGGGCAAGTGCCAAGTTCATGAGATGGGTAATTATTGAGAATGAAGGTGTCATCATCTGCTGGTGAATCTCCGTGCCCAGAGAGAGGACAGGAAACCACCCCTAGGAGCACAGGAAGCTCGGGAGTCCTCTGTTCTCTGATGGGAACTTCTGTTTATAGACTGGACCTCAGGTCAGACCCTAGGGGTGGGCAGGAGAGCCAGCTGCCGTCCTAGCCAGTGCTGTGACCCAGGTGAGCCCCGGCACCCCTCTTCTCCTCTCCTTTGGTACCCGGGCCTCTGCCTCCAAGGTCTCAGGGACAGGGTAACCGAGTACAGACAGCAAAGGTGTCTCATTTCACGCTTGTGAATATCAACAGACTAGGTCCAGGCAAAACACAGGAAAAATAAAAGGCCCCCTGGGGCTAGGAGTAGGTGGGGGCATAGGAGAGGAAGCAAAACAGGCCCAGCAAGGTGCCCTGAGCCCTGCTCACTCAAGGCGTCCAGGGGACAAGGTGGAATTAAGAACTCCAGAGAGGTTTTGGGAATCTGAGAACAGCCGGAGCCTGCCTTCCCTGAGGGCCCATCTCCAGCTAACATCAGGGAGGTGGCAAGACCTGTGTTCCCAGCAGAAGGAAAAGTGACTTTTGCCATGGCCAGCCTGACCTTGTGGGATTCCCTCCATCTCCAGAACAGGCACCTGAGCTGGAGAGAATCAGCACAGCAGGAGGAAGGAAGCCAGGGTGGATACAAGGGTGACCCATGGATGCTAGTGACCCGGACGGTACAACAGCAGATGCCAGCACAGACGGCGGTGCCAGCACCCATGGCCCCCAGCCCATCACCACATGCCTGTGGAAAGGGCACTGGGGCTGAACCGACTGAGGCTCAATTTCCACCACCCACCCAAACCAGGACAGGCAAAGAAAATGGAAATACAAAGATTCAGTCACGTGCGGGGAGGGGAGGTGTTCACCGACTGCTGCCTGCATGGGCACCAGGCCACGCCACCTCCTCCTGAAAGGGTAGAGCTTAGTGGCCCCAGCCCGAGGCCCAGCCCCCACCCCCTCAACAGCCCTGGGAGGTGCTGAGGCTCAGGGTCCCCTGTGGACCCTTGCAGCAGGATGCTGGGAAGGTGGAGTAAGCAGATCCAGGGAGAGCGTGCGAGTCGGAGGGCAGCGTGGCTTGGCTGGATAAATGAAGGCAGCCTGTCCAATTGGGACCCTAGCCCAGCCCATGCCCCCATCCCAAAGGTAGGGGCCAGAGAATGGGAGCATCTCAGGACACTGTGGGCACCAGGAGCCCAGGACCCTCCAGGGGTGTTCCTGGAAGGTACATCAACCCTCCACTGCCTGGCTGGAGTTCCCAGGACCTGTCCCTTGCTGCTCTGGCACTTCCCACCTCCAGCCCATCAGAGTCTCCTCAGCCATCCTGGCAGTCCTCCTGGGCTCCTATCCAGAGCCCAAAGGCCTCCATCGGGAATTCCATCTGTGTCCTCTGAATCGAGAGTTACTGTCCATCAAGCAAGCAGCACTGGATCCGCTTCCTGCCTGGCTACCAGTAGGAGGAGCTGCCAACGCCACTCCCACCCTACTCTCCACTAAGAACCAAGATGCAGACACCCCGCCGGGGCACAGGTGCCTGTGACCTCCCATCCAGCCCAGCCTCTCCCCACTCCTCCCCATGGCTTCCCATCAGCCCAGCCTCCCCCCACTCCTCCCCTGGGGATCACTCTGCAGCCTGGAGTTCTCTGAATTTCTGAAACACATCATACTTTTTTTTCACTTTCAAAAGGTCTGTCAGGGATACCCTGGTCCACGGAAGCATGTCCGGGCCCAGAAGCACATCCTTATAGGAGATGAATGAATCCGTCTGATGACATTATTATAATAACTCTTCTGGCTCTCATTCTGGGCACTCAAGTGACAGATGAGGAAATGAATGAAAAAATTTGATTTTCCAGATAATTCTACCATAGGGAGAGAATATGCTGACAAGTTTTCAGTCATCCATCAGATACTTCAACCTGCGTAATAGTTCTATTTCTCATAGAAAACTTAAAAATTAATGTTCCAGTGTATACATCATTCTCTGTGAGTTTGGTCATTGTAAGTCAGTCTATCCAACCCCAGTGAACATTTCAATTCTAGCTCCATGGCCTATGAGAGTGGGGAGCAGCCCTTGGAAGGTGGGCCACTGCTATGATGTCCCCTCAGCAGACAGACAGCTGGCCTTCCAGGATGACACCAGCTGCATTTGCTATTTGATACTTTCACAACCTGGAACTCTGCTTTCGATTTTTTTTTTTTTTTGACAGAGTCTTGCTCTGTCACCAGGCTGGAGTGCAGTGGTGTGATCTCGGCTCATTGAAACCTCCACTTCCCGGGTTCAAGAGATTCTCTTGCCTCAGCCTCCTGAGTAGCTGGGACTACAGACATGCACCACCACACCTGGCTCATTTTTGTATTTTTAGTAGAGACGGGGTTTCACCATGTTGGCCAGGATGGTCTCGATCTCCTGACCTTGTGATCCGCCTGCCTCGGCCTCCCAAAGTGCTGGGATTACAGGCGTGAGCCACCGTACCCAGCCTGCTTTCAGTTTTATCTCACTTAACCCCCAGATATCAGGTCTGTAGTGGATCTCAAGGACTATGAAGGCACTTTGACAAAATTCTGCTCTCTTTTCTCACCCCTATTCTAGTTCTGAAGGAGTCTTGTACCCCTTGGGCAAAGAGAAGAACAAGAGACTGGGAGCTTGGGGCTCTGGATTCAAGTTCTGCCTATGGACCGAGTCAACAAATGGCCCTGAACATGCCTCTTGGCCTCCAGGCCTCCATCTCTGCTGTGCAATGATTTGGACCAGAAGGGACCTCTGAAGGCTGTGAGGGAAAGGAAGGGTCAGAGGAGGTTGGCCTTGCAGAGACCAGGCTGGGCAGAGCTGCAGAGGGAGGCTCAGACCTGGTGCCGAGGGACTGAGAGCAAGTCCCATAGGCAGAGCCTGGAGGGACCGTGGAAAACAGCCCTGGCTGTGTTTACCGTGGGAGCTGCGTCTCGCCCGCATACATAAGGAGCGGAGATGGTCTGGCAGGGGCGTTGCTGGCTTGTCCCCAGAAACGGGGCTGCATGTATGTGTGTGGGCAGGCATGGCTGGGCACCCATGGGTGCCGACTGTAGTCAAGAGAGCTGGCATTCATCTCTACTTGCACTGCCTGTGTTACCCGGAGCACATCTCCTAACCTCTCTGGCCTCAATTTCCTCTTTCGTTGACCACTGGAAGAGGAGATTCTCATTCATTTGGTTCATTATTTCATTCATTCAACAAACATTCTTCCAGGTTTGTGGCAGATTCTCAGAGCCAGGCACTGGGAAGACAAAGATGGCTATGGAGCGGCTCTGGGCCCACCGGAGAGCGGCCCGCAAACTCCTGCAACGGCCGGGAGAGCTCCCTGCTCATGCCCCGTCATGCGCAGCCACGTGCAATGGAGCACAGGGGAGGCTGTGGCTAACTCTCTGGTCTGCAGGGCTCAGAGCAGGCTGCCTGGGCAAGGTCATACCTGTACCTTGAAGGATGGACAGGAGGTCCTGGGGTGACTGAAGCAACCCGCCAGAGGAAGTGGCCAGTGCACAGGTCCCGGCACAAAAGATCCATCTTGTGACACATGCAGTGAAGCTTGTATGATGCTAAATTACAATCACGGTTTGCATCTGTGCACTGCACCATTTCCTGAGCACTGTAAAGGGTAAGTATTGCCAGATGCACCTTCCCATGACCACCCAGGGCGTGGGCACGGGCACAGAGGAAAAGCCGTGTCCGTGGATGGAGACAGGGAGGAAAGGAGGGGCTGTTCGGGCCAGGCAGGGGCATGCAAGGGACGTGTCCACACCCCATAGGAAGCAGAGACAGGGTCGTCTCTGGGACTCTACCTCTGGGACTCCCGGAGCCAGGAAGGTGGCCGCGTACTCAGCCAGTGCCACGTCGTTGAGCATGTTCTGTGCCAGCTCAGAGAGCGGGAGGTTCTCCAGCCCATGTCTGTGCAGCTCCTGCAGCAGGTGGGTGATCAGGCGGTTCCTCTCCCGGCACTTCTGGACCAGGGAAGCTATCTTGGCCTGAAAGGGAGGGAGGCCATGGATGCAGAGCTACCACCAGGGCTGTGTGGCTGAGCTGGGGGACTGGGGGCCAGAGGGTCAGCTGAGGCCCCTACTCCTCACCATCCCCAACTCACCATCCCCAACTCTCCCTCCGCTCAGCGGAGCAGGCTTCTCCCTGCAACGCCTCCCTGTACCCAGAAGCCAGGCTGCTTTCGGAGCAGACGGCCACACACACCCAGGGGCTCCCCACTGCCCTCCCCATGGTCTAGGCTCAAGGCAGCAGGGATCGAGAGCGTGGATTTGGGCCCCACCACGGACCAGCTCTGTGAGCAAGCTCCCCTCTGCACCTCGACTTGCCCGTCTGTACAATGGGGGTTGTCACGGACACCAGGATAAAAGGAGATGGGGCAGGGAGGCACCTACCAAGTGTCGTGTTTCTATCCTTATCTCACATTTAGATAGCACTTTATAAGGGATTGTGGTCTTCATTTAAAGAAACGCTCCACAGCAAATGATGGTAATGACAGGGAGGAGGAGGGAAGCCTTGCATGCGGGAGCTTCACAGTCTGCTCTGCACCTTCCCAGCTACCACGTCTGCAGAGGCTCAGCAGGAATTATGATGATTTTCATTTTACAGGCGCCAACTCGAGGCTCAGACAGACACGGAAATGTGGGGTGGCAAATAACTTTAGGAACTGTGTGGCTCATGTTTCTGATTTGACGGCTGAGGAAACTGAGGCCTCAGAGGGAGGATGACTCTGCAGGTCAGTGGGAGTCCAGGGCGTAACCAGGTTCTGCTGATGCCCAGCCCAGGGCACCTCCCTCTCCACTCTGCCCGGAGACCAGAAAGAAAGAGCAGAGCCCCCAGCTTCTCCCAGATCCAGGCCCATGTTCAAGATGAAATGTGTTACCTTAACCAAATTCTGTGTCCTGCTAGCAAAGAACATATTAAATCCAGTGGGTGAGTAATGACATTTCCTGGAGTTGATCTTAAACATAAATGTCTAGATATGTGGAGAAAACCTTTCTGAGAAAAACTGTACATCGGCTGGGTACAGTGGCTCACGCCTGTAATCCCAGCACTCTGGGAGGCCGAGAGGGGGTGGATCATGAGGTCAGGAGTTCAAGACCACCCTGGCCAACATGGCAAAACCCCATCTCTACTGAAAATACAAAAATTAACCGGGTATGGTGGTGCACGCCTGTAATCCCAGCTACCTGGGAGGCTGAGACAGGAGAATCACTTGAACCCGGGAGGCAGAGGTTGCAGTGAGCCGAGATCGAACTATTGTACTATAGCCTGGGTAACAGAGCGACACTCCATCTCAAAAAAAAAAAAAAAGTGCATCACAGTGTTTATATACAATTAATGATACAAAAGAGAGAGCGAGATAGAAAGGAAGGTGCTTGAGCACACAGTACAGTGGTGACGATTTTATGAACCAAGGCGTCTTGCGCTTCACCTCCTAGGTCACCCCATCAAGTGGGAACAGCAGGAGGCAAACGTACAGACATCGTAGGCTCTCAAACACATGGGAAACACACCGAAAGAAAAGACATGGAAATGCCATGTGCAAGCAAGGGCTGCTGCTTTCTGTCTCCTTCATTCTTCCCAGTTTTTTTGTTTCGTTTTGTTTTGAGTCAGGATCTCACTCTGTTGCCCAAGCTGGAGAACGTGACGTGATCTCGGCTCACTGCAGCCTTGACCTCCTGGGTTCAAGCAATCCTCCCACCTCCGCCCTCCCAAGTGTCTGGGACTACAGACGCACGCCACCACGCCCGGCTAATTTTTGTGTTTTCTGTAGAGATGGGGTTTCACCATGTTGCCCAGGCCAGTCTCAAACTTCTGAGCTCAAGCAATCCACCCGCCTCAGCCTCCCAAAGTGCTGGGATTACAGGTGTGAGCCATCGTGCCTGGCCCTATCCCAACTTTTATACAATAGAGGTGGATTACATGTCTAATAGGAAAAATACTAAGCTCCCTGTTTTGAAAGACGCATTTCATATTGATTTTATGGACATATTACCTTCAGGGGAGTCACCGCCAACTTTGCTTCATGTTGCTCTTTCTGAAGTTCTTCAAGCTGAAATGAAAGCAACATTTTTAACAACACTGCACTGTCATTTACCACTGTCCAGAGTTTCCCCAGGCAAGCCGGGCTCAGAGCAGCTGGCAGTTGCCTGCCCTCTTTACCCTCATGTGGACTCAGTGCTGGGAACAGGGGCCTTTCCCACCACCTGCCTGGCAGGATCACGGGAGGACAGATGTTCTGAATACTCAAGAATCAGCTCTGCCCAGCTACAGTGGCCGGGGCCAACTCCAAGCTCTCTTCTGAGTCTCCAAGCAGCCTGGCAGTTTTCCGGTCTTGTGGTAAATATACAAGTTCCTGAGCCAGACACCAGGGGTCCTTAATCCTGGCTCAGCCAGTCGCTGGAACTGAGATCTTGTGCAAGACACTCTTTCTGCCTCAGTCTTCTCATCTGTGAAGGGGGCTTGTATGAGTGCCCCCCCCCCCGCTGGTGAGAACTGTAGTGAGGATTCAGTGAACCCATCCATGTAAAGTGCTTAGAACAAGCCCTGGCATCTGTCAGTGATCAATAAACTCATGTTACTATTAGGGGCAGATGAAAGCTGGACACAGATTCTTTGAGACTGCTCCCCGTGGAGGGGGTTCCTATCCTCTTCCCTCAGATCTGGGCTGGCCTGAGAAGCCTTGACTCACAGAATGCAGTGGAAGTGGCCCTGGGGCCTTTGTGGGTCCAGCCTTGAAGAGGAATGGCAGCTTCTACTTTGGGTCTCTTCTGTTTCTGAGCCAGGATTTAAGAATCCCAAGTGCCCACTGGGGAGACTATGAGACATGACAGAAAAAGGGAAGGCACCGGTGGGGGCTGCCTTCCGCCACCCTGCAGAGGGGCCAGGACGTGAGTGAGGCCGCCAGGGATCCCCCAGCCAAGGCTGGCATCCAGCTGGATACCACTGAGTCATGCCCACTGATCCCTTGGAGGGCGGAACAGCCTGGCCGAGTCCTGTCTGAATTCCTGAGCCATAAGATACAACAAAGCAGGTGTTGTGTGAGTTCTTCTAACTCTCTCAGTCCCTTTGTAGTCAGTTAAAAAAATCAAATAAAAAGCCACAAGCCTCTTCCTCATCCCCAACCTCTTCTGACCAACATACCCATATGGGTCAGAATGTGTGTATATGAAATTATACTACGCAAAAGATCTTGCATCTTGCTTCATAATGAAATAATATGCAAGATTTTAAAAGAATGAGCTCAGTTTGTATGTGATACAAAAATTTTGGTGCTATTTTCATATTAACACATAGAAACTGACCTCATTCTTTTAAAATCTTGTATATTATTTAATTACGAAGCCGAAACAAATTGATTTGACTTCAATTTGTTTATGGAAATTTATATTAGTTCTGTTTCTTTGTTTTACAAACAAGATTTCAGTGAACATTTCCATGTATCTGTTTTTGGCACACCATTCCTAATATATTCAAAAAGTAAAATTCCAGCTTTAAGCAGACTGTCTTATATTCAAAAGGCACTCAATCATATTTGCAGGCTTGGATTAAACCTTCTGTCTGCTTCAGTTTAGGAAATAACATAAATATGCCACAGTGTGAGAAGTATTGGGCATTTGCAATCAAAAAGCGAACGAGAAGAAATTAAAAAGATAACCTACAGAATTGGAGGAAATATTTGCAAATCATATATCTAATAAAGGACTTCTATCTAGAACATAAAAGGAACTCTCACAACTTAATAAAAAGAGAGTCCATTAACCCTATTAGAAAAACGGGAAGAATCTGAATAAACTCTTCTTCAAATAAGACACACAAATGACCCATAGGCATATGAAAAGATGTCCCACATTATTAGCCATCAGAAAATACAACTCAAAACCAATGAAAGACAATTTCCCACTAACTAGGATGTCTATGATAAAAAAGACAACTAGTAGCAAATGTTAGTGAGGGTGAGAAGTTGGAACCTTCCTACACTGCTGGTGAGAACATGAAATAAAGTTATCAGAGACACTCTTCCTCTTTAAAGCAACTGCGATTGAGATGTTCAGGAATTATATTACAAAAACTTCATCATAAAACTGAGAACTGCGAAAAAGAATCCTAGGGAAATTCTCAACCTGCAAAATAGGCGAACTGAAATTAAGAACTAAAGTGAGTTTAAGAGCAAATTAGATTCATCCAAAGAGTACTATTTAGCTGGAAGAGAGATTTGAAGGAAATACTGAAACTGAGCAGAAAGTAAAAAGGATGAAAATAATTTAAAATATACTTAAAGTCTAATTCATGTGTAACTGAAGTTTCCACACACACCCCCTCCCCACAGGCCAGTGACAGATAAGAGAAAAAAGCAATACTAGCTCTTGTGTTGGTTGAAGACCCAGTGAACGAGACACACTCATGTATTGCTGGTGGCATGGAAGTGGATACCACTACTTTGGAAAGCAATTTGTGATACGTAGCTAAGACTCAACAATATTCCCACCTTTGGAGCCAGTAGTCCCAGTTCTCTGAACTGTTATATATAAACAGTTATCTGTAAGTTCATAGAAATAGCTCTAGATGCAACAATTGGGGAATAGTTAAGGAAACCACATCCACCCAATAGATTACTACACAGTCAATCATAGACAAAAAAATCATAGATTACTACACAGTCAAACAGTCACACGTATGAGGACTATGCAGCCACATGGACAAATGAACATAAAACTCTACATATAACATGCTTTGATCTTACAAAAAACACATGGGAGAAGAGCCAGAAATTATACTGTAATGCTGAGGCTGTATTTTCATCTATCAACTTGTCCAAAAATTGTAAAGTTGCTAACATTCAGGATAACAAGTTATGGGCAAATGAGTAGACTCATTGCTAATGATAGCAAAAGATGCTATCATTTTGGAGGATTATTTGCCATTACCTATCACAGTTAATGATTTATACATCCTTTGTTTCGCTGGAAATTTTCCATTTAGATATACAGCAGATGTATATGCCGAGAGATAAACATGTTCATTGAAGCTGCGTTTGTAATGCAAAGAAATGGAAACAACTTGAATTTCCACCAACAAAAAAACTTGATTAAACAAGTTATGATTTGGCCTCATGATGACATAATACACACGATTTTAAATGAATGAGGTCACTTTGTATGTGCTCATGTGAAAACACCATAAGATTCTTAAATGAGAAAATGAAGATGCAAAATAGTTTTGTACAGTATAATTTCAAACATGTACACATCTACACACATTCAGAAAGTGGGTAGACAGGGCTGAAAAAATATTGGAAGTCAGAAAAGGTTGAAGTTGAGAAGAAGGAAAGCTTTTATATTTTTTATTTAAAAGAAAATTTAGATGATTAAGATTTGCAGAGAGTTGTAAGAAATAATACAGAGAACTCTCTCGTACATGTTTTTTGAGACAGGGTCTTGCTCTGTCACCCAGGCTGGAGTGCACCCTTGTACATTTTGCCCAGTTTCCCCCAGTGGGAATATTTTGCAAAACTATAGTGTCGTATCACAACCAGGAATTGAAATGGCCGCAATTCACTGAGCTTTTTCAGCTCTCTCCAGTTTTACGCGTGTGCATCTGCGTGTTAAATTCTGTGCAATTCTGGTACCTGTATACTTTTGCATCTGCACCGCCGTGTCATGGACACATCCACTTCCCTCCGACAGAGGAAGGGCTTTGACTTTTATTTATATGACACTGTAAACCTGCTTGACTTTATTTAAAGAAACCACATATGTGCATTTTTAAATTTAACAGAGAAGGGATCATAGAGTCTGTGTTTTCCTTCCTAGTACTGTCCTATACTTTAAAAATCCAGTACCCTAGAACTTAAAGTATAATTTTAAAAAAATAAATAAATACATAAAAATCCAGTACCCGTTCCCAACCGGCTGGAAGGGTGAGGGAGCGCTCAGCTCGTCCTTATCCACTCCCCAAACGCCCTGGGGTGTGGGAGCCCTGACTGACAAGAGGGGAAAGAAAGTGCTTCCCACACCTTGGTCTGGAGCTCCTCCTGGAGGCGGGCGGCCTCGTCCCGAGATGCCTGGTGGGCAGCGCCCTGGTCCCGGAGCTGGCACTGCAGGGTCAGCACCCGGTGATGGAGCTGCTGGGCGCGCAGCCCGGGATCTTCCTCAGTAACCTCCGCCTCTGAGTCCTGGGGCTGCGGAACGCACGGATTTGAAAGAAATTGTTAGGTTATCTTCCAAACAATTTGCCTTAGCCAACAAACTGTACCTGTTTCCCCACTCCTTAGTTTGTTTGGTTTTTTTTTCCCCCGCTTACATTTCCCTTGCAGTAAAACAGTTTTAGAAAATAGGGTAGCAGAAATCACTCCCAATCCGATTATCCTGCAGAAGCTTTGTTATCCATAGATTTTCTGCAGAGTTGCTGCTAAGCCCCTCGACATGTGCATGTATAAGAGTGGGTGGTTCTGCTTGGTTTCCGGAGGGGCACGTTGGGGAGGGCCTGTAGAGTCCCAGAATAACAGCATAACTGCGTGGAATATTAGCTTCAAGAATATGTGCAGTGGGGTGGCATTCCAGAATCTGCTGTAATAGATGCCAGTCACTGTTATACTGAAACAGGGTGATGAGTGAAATTGAATGTTCCAATCAAATTATGAGATGCTTATTACGCTAAAGCATAATATATTTATATAAAACAGAAGACACTATATCTCCCACAGGCACTTTTCTTAAATCAATACACAATTGCCTCTTACTCTTCTTCTTGGATCTAACGTGAGAGTAGCGGGTTTCATTCAGATGCCAAAGGGAAATTCTGGGAGGGAGGACAGTGAGAGGGAAGAGGCTGGCTTTGCATTGTGGGAAGTGTGGCAAAATGGGAGAGGTGCTACTGCCCCCAAATGGTTTTGAAGTCTAAATTCTTATTTTTTTAAATAACTCACATACATACACAGAAGCATACATAAACATACATATTAACACATATTTTTCTATATAAAATTTAAAATACGATGTATTTCTTTTGTTTTCTGCTTTTCTCCCTTAACACCATGTCCTGGGCGTTTTTCCATATTACCAAATAATGTTGAAAATGCTGTTATTAGTATATGCAGCCTCCTGTGGCCGTGCTGAACACTCGGATTATTCTAACATTTTGCTGTTATAATTGGAACTGTGACAAAGACCCTTGTACATAAATATTTGGACATACCTCTGACGCTTTCCCTGAGATCATCAGAGGGTATTTCCGGGTCAACAACATGAGCATCTTTTTTCATTTCTATTTTTATTTATTTATTTATTTATTTTGAGATGGAGTTTCGCTTTTGTTGTCCAGGCTGGAGTGCAATGGCATGATCTCGGCTCACCACAACCTCCACCTCAAAGGTTCAAGCAATTCTCCTGCCTCAGCCTCCTGAGTAGCTGGGATTACAGGTATGTGCCACCACACCCGGCTAATTCTGTACTTTTAGTAGAGACAGGGTTTCTCCATGTTGGTCAGGCTGGTCTCGAACTCCTGACCTCAGGTGATCCACCCACCTTGGCCTCTCAAAGTGCTGGGATTAAAGGCATGAGCCACCACGCCCAGCCCGACATGAGCATCTTTAAGCTCTTGGTTCATGCTGCTAAGGCGGCCTTAGAAGGGAACAGCACTGCTGAAAGTTCCATTTGTGAAGATTTAGGAGCCCAGAAACTCAGATGCTTCTCAAACGCCCTTCCCCCTTGTGAAGGCAGTTCCCTTTTCCTTTAAGGCAGCTTCCCTGGGAGTTGTAAGACCCCCAAAACTCATCCCGACCTAGCAGGGGTAGGTAGGGGGGGAACCCAAGCTCCCCTGCTTGGGAGAGAGAGATGAGGGAGAAGCGGAGGAGAAGGAATAATACAGGCAACTCCATGGCTGCTGGGGCATCTCTCTTGTAATAAAATATACAATAGCAGGCCGGGTGCGGTGGCTCAAGCCTGTAATCCTAGCACTTTGGGAGGCCGAAGACGGGCGGATCACGAGGTCAGGAGATCGAGACCATCCTGGCTAACCCGATGAAACCCCGTCTCTACTAAAAATACAAAAAACTAGCCGGGCCGAGTGGGCAGGCGCTGTAGTCCAGCCGTACTCGGGAGGCTTAAGACAGGGAATGCGGTGAACCCGGGGGCGGAAGCTTGCAGTGGAGCTGAGATTCCGGCCACTGCACTCCAGCCTGGGTGACAGAGCAGACTCGTTCTCAAAAAAAAAAAAAAAAAAGAAGAAAAAAAATACAATAGGCTAGAGAAGGGATATTTATAATAATAAGGAAGAAAAAAAAAAAAAAAAAAAATTTTTTAAAACACCACGTGGCCTAAGATTGCCACAGGCTGGGCCCTGTCAAAAGCAGATGGGTGCTCCGAATGGTCCTGTAAAATTCAGCTCCAAGACTTCAAAACAACTTGGCCTTTCTGGGAAGTACGTTGCCTCCTCTGCCTCCCTCCTCTGGCAGTGACTTGGACTGGGGCTTTGTCCCATGGGTCCTCAGACAGCACCCAAGTATCCTCTAAAGAGAATGGCTGTGCAGGTGGGACCAGCCTGTTGTCCCATGGGACCACCCCACACAGTAGCCCTGTGAGCTGCCCAGTGAGTCTCCTGCTGTCTAGCAGACATCATGAGCACATGTGCGGGCTGTACACTGGCCTGAGATGGGCGGTGCTGACACTGCCCTCCAGGAGCTCAGGCTGGTGGGGAGAATGACAGGCAGGTAATTTAACATTCAATACAGCCTCATAAAGGGAAGCCAGGAGGCTGTGACGACCTGAAGGGGGCACTGAACAGAGACATCATCCAGTTGGGGGGTGGCAACTGTATAGCAACCACATTCTGGGTTGCGGGGACAGTACCAATTTGTAGCATTTGCCAGTTTCCATGGTGTAAATATTCCTACCATGACTGACTACAAGCTACCAAAATGGTATCATTGAAGGCAGAGTTGGGAGGAAATGCACATGAGTTGGCTCTGACTCATCTCTGCACAGAACCCAGCCTGGGGGTGGGGAGAAGCTTTCTGGAGGAGAGGCCCCCCAACAGGAGACCTAGAGGAGAAAGCTGGGTACAGGGAGGGGTGGATGAAGAAGGTGAAAAATGAGGGTAGAGGTGGCAGCATGGAGTGCGGAGGCTGGGGGTATAAGCAGCAACAGTGGAAGCTCCTGAGGGTCTCAGGGCCAGAGCACTGCTCACTGTAGGAAGCTGGGATCTCATGTCCAGTGCAATAGGAAGCCACAGAGGGTTTTAGGTCAAAGAGTAACACATCGGGTGTTGGTGACTTCTTGTCCATCACCAAGTCCCATGGACTCCAGCTCCAGTTTTCACTCCAAATTTCTAAACCCCAGTGTCACCTCTTGGCTATCCAGCCACCAACTCCTCTCAACCTGTTCTCCTTCAATTCACCCAAATCATTGTTCTCAGAGCAGGCAGATCTTTTTGCAGTATAAATTGGGTCACATCTTTCTGCTCAAAACCCTCTGATGGCTTCCTATGACATCTAGAAAAGATCAAAACAAGGGCCTGCAAGCCTTCTACAGCCTAACTTGTGACAGCTTCTTCAATCTCATCTCACACTACACCCCTCCTTGCCCATTGGAATCCAGCCATGCTGGCTACTTTCTGTTTTTCCAATGAGCCAGCCTCTGTCCTGCCTCAAGGCCTGGCCACTCGCTTTTCCCTCTACCTGGAATGCTCTTCCTTGCTGCTCTTTTATAACCTTGAAAGTCTCAGCTCAGTATTCAGCTCCTCAGATTTCCACACTCCTACTCACTGGTGTTGGACAACTATAGAATCTGGGGAGAATATATACAAGTAATGTTTTGCAGGCATTGGAAGATAACTGGTGCAGGGCTACAATCCTTAAGAAAAAGCATGCACAACAAGGCAGGCTCCACATTTTCCCTGGATTTCTCTCTGAAACATTTTCCAAATAATGGTCCTGAAAATAGAGCCCAAGCTGAAAGTGGTGGTCCTTCTAGATGGAGAAATAGAGCTTGGAGTTTAGGGATGCTAAGACTGCTGGGGTTTGTGGAACAAAGTAACAGGGAAGAGAGAGCTGCAGAAAATAAAAGCCCAAATATTGTCCTAGAAATGTCCCTTGAGTCCTTGGCTGAATCATAAGCTCTGTGACACAGTAGAAGACTCTAAGCCTTGCAAAGAATAGCAGCTTGGAGGTTAATTGGTGAAGAGATGTCACAGGTCACACACTTCTAAGAAGATGGCAGAGTTCTGGCAAAGCCAAAATGGAGAGGACTTGGTGAATGCTGTGGAACTCAGCTGATGTCACTGAGAGGCCATGCCCTAAGAGCAAGGGCCACACCTTAGGAGTAATATCAAGCCCTACTAGGTCTGAGGGCAAAACTTAAATAGGCCTACACAAGAATAAGATGATCCGCTGATCATGCAACTACCTGCCAGAATAAAATTCACTCAACATTCTTTGGAGAAAGACAATAATCAGGAATCTTCATAACATATTATACACAATGTCCAACATAAAAGTTTTTGAAAGTCCTAAACATGAAAAAGCAGAAAAATGTGACTATTCACCAATAAACAAAATAGTCAATAGGAGCAGGCAAAGAGATGATCCAAATATTGGTGTTAGCAGAAAAAAAACCCTCAAGGTCTTCAAAATAATTATGATCTATATATTTTTTAAAACATAGGAAAAATAAAGAAAATGGATGTACAGATGGACTATTTCAACAGAGAACCAGAATCTCTTTTTAAAAGAATAAAATGGATATTCTAGAACTGCAAAATATAATAAATGAAATTAAGAACTCATTGAATAGATTTAACAGAAGTTGGGACACGGTAGAATACCGGATTAGTGAATTAAAAGACAGGTCAATAGAAAATCCAAACAGAAACACACATTTTTAAAACTGATACAGGATTTTTGAAAGATGTGAGATAGAGCCAAAAAGTCTGAATTTCTAGAAGGAGAGGAAAAGAAAATAGAAAAGAACGAAATATTTGAAGAATGATCAAGAATTTTCTAAGTCTGACAAAAAAGACACAAACACACAAGTTCAAGAAGCTCAAAAAAAATTTTTAAAAAGAAAAACAAGCAGGACGAAAACAAATAAAACCATATCTACACACATTATAGTGAAACTGCCAAAACTCAAAGATAAATAGGAAATTATAAAAGCAGTCAGAGATAAAACAACACATTTATCTCAAGGAGAGTGAGGGAGAAAAACAATGACAACTATGACTGATTTCTGGACAGAAACTATGAGAGGCAGAAGACAATGGAATGAGACTTTGAAGAGCCAAGAGAGTGAAATACCTGGCTACCTAAAATTCAGAACCCAATGGGAAGAAAAAAAACTTAATGAAGGGTAAAAAATTGTTTTCATAAAAGAAATATGAGAAAATTAATCACCAGAAAATTCTCACTACAAAAAACCCACAGTTCTTAAGGCAAAAGGAAATCAGAGCCACAGAAGACTAAGAAAGAATGAACAACACAAGAACATGTAAAGATATGGGTAAATGAAAAAGATACGATTGTTTAAAATAACAGTGACTTATAAGATTTATTCTACATAGGAGTAATATATAACAAAAAAGTTATAAAAAGTAAAAAGAGAATAAATGAAGTTAAACTACTGAAAAATTTTTGCATTAATCGGGACACGGTAAAAAAACTAATTTAAAGTAAATTTAAATAATTACTAGATACATTTTTGAAATGCCTAGGGTAACCACTAAAAGAATAATACTAAAACATAAGCTAATGGAGAAGAAAAATAAATAACAAAATATAATTAATACCAAAAACGAAGGGATGAAAGAAAGATTAAAGAAAACAAAACAGATGAGACAAATAGAAAAAAGTAGTAAATAAATAAAATAAATTGGCTGGGCGCAGTGGCTCACACCTATAATCCCAGCACTTTGGGAGGCCAAGGCGGGTGGATTACCTGAGGTCAGGAGTTTGAGACCAGCCTGGCCAACATGGTGAAACCACATCTCTTCTAAACAATACAAAAATTAGCTGGGCATGATGGTGGATGCCTGTAGTCTCAGCTACTTGGGAGGTTGAGGCAGGAGAATCACTTGAACCTGGGAGGCAAAGGTTGCAGTGGGCCGAGATCACACTACTATACTCCAGCCTGGGTGACAGAGCGAGACACTGTCTCAACAATAAATAAATAAACAAATAAGAAAGAACATTATAATATATAGATTTTTAAATAACATAACTAAAAAGAGAAATACACAAATGCACATTCAGAGTGGAAGGTTTTAAAACATGTCTTGGTTAATGCCAAAACAAATAGACAACATATCAGCAAAGACAGAAGAGATTTGATTAGAACAATTAACCAGCTTGGCCTAATTGATATGAAACAATCAAACAATGTTCCTTCTTTACAAGGGCATGTGGGATATACTGTTGGCCATAGACCATAACCTGGTCAATAAAACAAGTCTCAACAAATTTTGGAAGACTAAAATAACATACTGTATACTTTCTGACAGGAATGAAATAAAACTAGAAATCAAGGACAAATGTATAACTGAAAAATTCCAGAGATGCTTAGAAATTAAGCAACACACGTTTCTAAATAACCCATGGGTCAAAGAAGAAATCATAATAGAAATTAGAAGCTATTTTCTTTTTTTGGGGGGGGGGTTATTGTTGCTTGTTTTTATTTCATCCTCTTTGACTTTAATTTCTAAATCAATAAAATAGGGCTAGCTACAACAATGTCTTTTTTTTTTTTTTTGAGATGGATTCTCGCTCTGTTGCCCAGGCTGGAGTGCAGTGGCACAATCTCGGCTCACTGCAACCTCTGCTTCCCAGATTCAAGCAATTCTACTGCCTCAGCCTCCCAAGCAGCTGGGACTACAGGCGCGAGCCACCACACCCAGCTAATTTTTGTGTTTTTAGTAGAGATGGGGTTTTACTATATTGGTCAGGCTGGTCTCGAACTCCTAACCTCATGATCCGCCCTCCTTGGCCTCCCAAAGTGCTGGAATTGCAGGAGTGAGCCACCGCGCCTGGCCCTAACAATGTCATTTTGAGGCAATTTTGAGGAATAAATGATAGTACATAAATTTCCTGGCACATAGTAGATAGGCAATACATATTCCTTATCTCTAATCCTTAGAAACTATTTTGAAGTGAACAGACTTCATCTCAAAATGTGTGGGATGCTTAGAGAGACATTTATAGCTTTAATTGCATAGATTGCAAAAGAAGAACAGCTGAAAATCAATGACCTAAGTTTTCAACACAAGAAGCAAGAAAAAGAACAGGCAAAAATTAAATCAAGAAGAAAGTAGAATGAAAGAATATAAGAAGGCCAGGCACGGTGGCCTCACGCCCTGTAATCCTACAGGCTTCAGGGAGTCTAGGTGGGCGATTGCCTGAGCTCAGGAGTTCAGGAGCCAGCGCTGGGCGCAACATGTGAGAAACCGTCGTCTCTACTTAAAATTACAAAAAAATTACGCCAGGCATGCGCGGTGCTGTTAGTCCCAGATACTTGAATAGGCTTGAGGCAGGCGAAACTGCTTGATTATGGGAGCAGAGGTTACAGCGAGCCGAGATAACACCACTGCACTCCCAGCCTGGGTGACAGCGTCGCCGCACCTCCTGCCTTAAAAAAAAAAAAAAAAAAACAAAAAAAAAGAATATAGTAAAGATCTAGAAGAAACCAATAAATAAATACAAACAATAAATAAAATTCAATAATAACTGGGAGAATATATTAGATTCTGGGGGGGAGAAAAAAATGGGATTTAAATAACATTGGTTGGGGTGTGGGGAGAAAGGAGAGAAAGGAATAGGAAGGAAGATGAGGGAAAGGGAGGCAGGAGGGGGAGAGCAAGAGACAGAAAGATGGAGAGATAGAGGAGACACAGAGAAGGGAAAGGAGGCAGAGAGGGTGGAGCAAGATGGGAGAGAAAAACAGAGATAGAAAATGGAATGAATGAGTGCCAGGGCCTCAACACTAAATATCCTACGCATGGTGAAGGCCACCATAGGAATATTATGAGTGTTTTATTGCAGGACTCCCAACAGTCAAGTACTATCCACAGATGAGGAGAGGGACTCAGAGAAGTCTGCATGTGGCCTGAAAGTCACAGCTCTGTAAGCACAGAGCCTGGGTGGAACCCTGTTTTATCATGCTCTACAGTCCATTGTTCTTTTCATTGTAACTTTCAAGACCCAATATACAGAATTAGGACTTGGGCTGCTTAAAAAACCCCAGGGTTGGAAAATGCAAGGTCTGATCTTAAAGTATGAACACTCGCTGGGTGCCCTGCTGGAGCCTAAGCAGAGGGGCAGGCTTGAATCTCCCATGGCAGGTGGGAACAGAGATCCCGGGACCAGAGTGCCGAGGTGTGAGTCCCTGCTCCACCCCTCACTGGCTGTGCAACTGCAGTGACTGCATTTCTCTGTTTTCTTTGTACCAACCCTCTGTCATCTGGTAAAGTGGTGAGAATGATTGTACCTCCCTCACAGGACTCTGGTGAATTGCATAAGTGAATGGGGTGGACCCTGGAACAGAGTCGTGTGTGATGAGTAAGCTGTCAGGCAGACCCAACCTACCGCGGGGCCATTGCTCAGGGACCTCAGAGCTTGCCCCTGAGCCACAGAACACCTGGGCCTCTTCTCCTCTTTCTCCATATGTGCTTCTTTCACTCCTGCTCCACCGACATTTCCTTGCAGGTTGTTGGCTACATCAGCGTTTCTCCAGACCAGTGATGGAGGGGGAGAATCAGTACCGCATCTAGAATTTCCAGCGCCTGTGGAAGGTCCTGTCTGCCCTGCAGCCAGACCCACTTCCTCCGCCAAGAGTGGCCCACAGGCCCTTGAAAGCAGCTGCCCTGCAAGAGGAGTTACCTGCACCTCTTTGTCTACAGTGTGCATCTTGGCTTTTCCCTGGAGGTGCTCCCTTCCCCTCACCAAACGCCCCTGATCCGTGCTCCTCTGCAAGGTGACTTCCCTCTCCAGGACATGGACCCTGCGTAGAAGGTGCTCGTTCTCCCCGCTTAAGGCCCGGATCATGTCTTCTATTCCCAGCACGATATCCTTTATCAGCTCTTTGTAACTAACGCCAAGCTCCGAGATCAGCGCCTGGAGCTTCCAGTTTTCCAGAGTGACTTGCTCCATCGTGTCTTTGGATTTCCTGATACTCTCAGACATGGATTTCTGAAGTTGGCCCAGATTCCCTTTCAGTTTTTCATTTTCCTCTTCAAGCTCCAAAATTTTGCTGTAACTCTTCCCATTGCAGTCTTCAAGGTCGGAGATGACCTGTAAATATTGGTCCAGTTCTTTCTTTAACTGAGAGACATCCCCTACCAGCCTGTGGTTATCCCGCTCGAGCCTGGATATTTTTGTCACCTCTCGCTCTCTCTCTCTTTGAAGGGCGCACACTCTTTCATGGCACCGCTCTTGGTCTCCGTGAAGTTTGGTGGTGTCGTGTAAAATCTGGCATCGCTGTTTCTTCAACCCAGAAATGAGCTGACGAAACTTGCTCCTCACTCTTTCGAGGGCACCCCAGGGCTCCGCGGGCCCCTCTGAAGGGTTTGGGCTGGCTTCATACCAATCAGGCAGTGTCCCTGGGTTACCAGGAACTTCGCTGGTGCCCAGGGCCATGGTCTTCCCCGGCTTATCACCTTCATCACTCTCTTTAGACTTTGCTTCTTCATCAGAACAAATACCCCAATTTCCCCAAACCTGCTGAGAGTGAGCTGTCTCCCCGCCACTGTGCCACTTCTGAGCAAAGCTCCAGCTCTCTCCCCCACATGCAGAGGCTGAGCGCCGCCAGCCCCCACGGCCTGGCTGCAGGGTGGACAGCTGCTGGAAACAAGCCTCCACCTCCTGTGCAAGCTCATCGATTGTGAGTGCACACCTGTCATGTCCTTTGCTCACAGCCTGTGGATTGTGACCAGTGGGTTCACCCCCGTCAGCTGATAAGGCAAATCTGGGAAACAGAGGCAGACCTGTCTCTCCTGCGAAGAAAAGCATTTCCTTGCTCTCATGTTCCTGGGAGTCAGGCTCCTCAGGGGCACCCCTGCACCCTGGACTGGATGCTTCTTGATGCGATGCCTCATCCTTCTCCTCTAGCCCTTCGTCCTCCGGGCTTTCTCCTTGCAGAAGCAGAGCATTTCCAAGCCACATTTGGTTTTCCTCCTTGTCCCTAGCTGTCCTCCCAATGGCTCTGCCTCTTCCTGCGAGGAGCTGACTGTCTGTTGGCCACAGCTCTTTGGTCTCGTGAGACCTGGAGAAGGCGGCTAGGGGCGCCGCTTCCTCCTTCTCTGATGACAGTCCTCCTCGGAGACCCCAGACATATCCTTCCACCCTTTCCCTCCTTCTCAGGGATTCGGGACCCTCCTTTGATACTGAGGCCTCCCCCTGTAGAAGAGACATCAAAAACTCCTGCCAGGTCCCAGGGTGGCAGGTGGCAGCCCTGGTCTCTGAAGCCCCATTCTGGTCCTGCACGCCCTCTGTGGCTCCAGCCCCGTTCTCCAAGCTCAGGTTCTGATGGCTTTTCTGACTTGGCTGGTGCTTGTCACCAAGGTTTTTCCCCTTCCTGCCCAAAGTCCCCCTTGCCTCCCCCTCTTCAGTTCTCCTCCCCAGGCTTCCTCCTCCATTGTTCCAAGTGTCTGTCAGATCCTTGGGGTGTTTTTTTGGAAATCGGTGATTTGAAACGTGGGGGGCCTCGTGGGAGAGGGAGGCACTGCAGTCTCTTGCCTGGTGACAATCCCAGCTGGGGGGTCCTGTGGCTTTGGGAGGAGGTGGGGACCTGGTGGCCAACTCTTCTTGGGTTTGTTGTCCATCTGAGGGAAGCTCCTGGAGCAGAAGTGGTCGCCAAGAAGCGGAGTCCCCAGCCGGCCCCCAGAGAGGGAGTGCGGACGTCTGCACCAGGAGAAAGGCCTCTGTGGCCGGGTCAGCTGCTAGATTTTCTGAAATCCGGGCCAGGTCCATGGGGAGGAGTGACTTGTCCAAGCACTCCCCTGGGGGGCAGCTACAGACCAGGAGAAGAATCTGTTCATCCAAGCTAGGCTCTGCCAGAGTAAGCTACGAATGGAGAGAGAAAATGAGGTGTGAAACAGCCCCTTCCTCCATTCAGCACCCCCACCTCCACTCACCTCCTGGGGTTCTCCATGTCTCCTCACCAGTTGCACAGGGGACAAGCTCTTTCCCACACAGGACACAGCTGGTACCACCCTAGGGCCTTTGCATGTGCTCTTCACTCTACTCAGAATGTCCTTGCCCCAGATGCCCTCAGGGCTCACTCCCTGGCTCCATTCGTATCTCAGTGCAAATGACTTCCTTGAGAAGGCCCTGCCTGACTCACTCTTGGGCCATCCACCCCATGTCATCTTCCCCCACAGCACCCTCCATGCCCTCACACCATATTATATATTTCTGTCTGTATCATCTAACTCCCCCTATGGCCCTGCCCCATCCAATCCACTAGTCATGGGCCACATGGAACTCCTAAAATGTAAAGTAATTATATCAAGGTTAACACTCAGTTCTGCGGTGGCACTAGCCCCATGTGGCCCGTGGCTACCGTCTTGGGCAGCACAGATGCAGACTGTGAATAGCACTGTAGAAGGCTCTCATGGATGGGGCTCGTGCAGGCCGTCCACTCCCTGAGGGCAGAACTTCATCTTTGTTCAACTCCTGGGCCTAGAACAGTGCTGGGCACACAGGAGGTGTTTCCTTGATATTTTAAATGTATTTTTATCTTTGCTTATTTGATGTGTTTATCCAGAGAGGAGGAGCCCAGCTCAGAGCAGAGGCCCCGGCTGGGCTGGGGAAGCCTGAGGATGAATTTTGGTGTTAGCTAGGCTCACTGTGAGTCCCTGGGGCTGCTCCCAGACCTGGCAGGCTGCAGGCAGTTCTCAGTGGAACCCCTAGAATAGCTGGGAGAGGCTCAGCTGGTCTAAGACCCAGAAGAGAACGACAGAGGGAACATCTCAAAGGACAGAGGGAGTCTGAGCCTTTACAGGTGGACATACAAGCAGCAAAGCCCCTTCAGGCAGAGGGGGCTTGAAGGCCAGGAGCGCTGCCCCTGCCTGGAGGGGTCACCACCTCCCTGCTCCCTGGAGCTGCGGGTGGGCAGCACCCCTTCCTCTGTTATCTTTGCCTCTGTCTGCAATGTCCTTCAATCCAGACACCAAGCGCCTCTCCCAGCTGCCCACAGAGAAAAGAGCATTTCCCCCAGAGAGGTATAGACCTAGAGACCTGGCTTCTATCCTGGGTGTGACCTTGAGCAAGTTCCTTAACCTGCTGGAGCCTCAGCCACCTCACCTGTCAAATGGGGCACCTCCGTGTTCTAAGACGTTGCCCTGGGCTTCAAGGGAAGGGGGTGGTGAGGAGTGAGACATATAGGGATGCGATGGCCAACAACAAAAATAAGAGATGCATCATGAGCAGGACGTGAATGAATGAAGAGATAACGGAGGGCGAGCAGGACATGAATGAATGAAAAGATAACGGAGGGCTTCTCTGTTTAGAACCACACAACCACAGCCGGGCTCGCGGGTCCCAGCATGGCTCTGCTTCTCAGGGACGAAAAAATGGAAGTGGAGAAAGGCTACGACTGCCTCAGCCTCAGAGCAAGCCACGGGAGGTGAGATGGGACACAGGCTCCTGACCCTCAGGGCCAGCATGGGGCAGTGTGGCCTGTCGAGCCTGGATCTCGGGGTTCACCTCCAAGCGGGGGGCCTTGGGGAGTCACAGCTGCCCTTGGAGTCTCATCTCCTCTCCAGAGCAGAGGTGGCAGCAACAGCTCGTGGGTGTCGGGAGGTGCCAATGAGAGGAAGCCTGTTCCATGGCAGCCCAGGCCTGGCACCCAGCTGACCCCCTTCCTCCCCACTCCCCATCCAGGTCTCAGGATGTTTCATTTCCTCTCCTCAAATCTCTCTCTCAACTATTTCCAGAATGTTCTTCCAGACCTGGAGCTTCTTTACGCCTCCCACCTCCTGCGGGTGGCCACACACCCTGCACGAGACAGGGCTGAGGGGACCCAGGGGCACTGCACACGTTCACAGAAAGCCTCCGTCCTCACCTGTTCACGGTTGGATCCCGCCAGGTCTCCGGGGAGCTCGCCTGTGGTCTCCGGGCCTGGAGCCAAAACAGAAGAGGCCCGTCCAGACCCGATGTAGCTCCAGGTGCAGGGCCCCTCCGGGAACTGGCCTGGAAAGCAACAAGACCCTGGGGGTTACAAAGACGCTCCCAGGGGCTCTGCCATGATTGCCTCTAGGGACCACATCCCCCGGGCTTAGGTAAGATGGTACCCCCTGCCACCCCCGACTGTGAGCCTCATCATGCCTCCCAAGGGCAGCCTGATGACCACCAGCATCTTGGTCAGGGGAGGCAGCTGAGGCTCAGAGATGTGAAACAGCCATCAGCAGGTGGGCAGAGGCCCCAGGGCTCCAAGCCACCTCTGCAGCCCACAGACTCCTGCACAGGACAAAATCCACCAAACCTTTCTAAGCCTCAGCATCCTCATCTGTCAAACAGGGTAATGAGCCTCACCCCAGCCCTGCACAGCTGGCATGAGGACACATCTGACCTGGGTCGACGTAGCAGCTCTGCTCCCCAGAAATGAGATAACGGGAGAACGCTGGCTGCATCAGTCAGCAGCACCACTGTGTTACACATATGTGAGATAATGCCATCCCTAAACAGCCCTTGAGGTTGGAGGGCTGGAAATAAGCCACAGATGCCCAGTTGGCCGCCATGGCTGTCAGGCTCTCTGAGTGCAGGGGCTCTGGAAGCCACGGTGGAGGCTGTTATGAGATATGATAAGATACTACGCAAGCCCGGCACGGTGGCTCATGCCTGTAATCCCAGCACTCTGGGAGGCCAAGGCAGGCAGATCACATAAGGCCAGGAGTTTGTGACCAGTTTGGCCAACATGGCAAAACCCCGTCTCTACTAAAAATACAAAAATTAGCCGGGCGTGGTGGTGGGAGCCTGTTGTCCCAGCTACTTGGGAGGCTAAGGCAGGAGAATCACTTGAACCCGGGAGCTTGAGGTTGCAGTGAACCAAGATTGCACAACTGTACTCCACTCCAGCCTAGGTGACAAGAGAGACTCCATTTCAAAAACAAAAACAAAACAAAACAAAAAAAACGAGACAGAGATATTGGTTCACATCAGGGACAAGAGGCTTCTAAGCCCCAGCAGCTTCCAGACCTGCCAAGTGTGATTCTCACTGCCTCACACTGGAGGTGTCACGTGGGAAATGGGGGGGGACAGGATGGCTCCTGGTCATCATACGGACTTCGGTGAAAGCACGTCCCTGCTGCCAACCTGCTGGCCTGTGAGGCCCCTTGGCTGGCACCCTCCCGAGGGCCCAGGGTATGAGCCTGTGTTCAGCTGAGCCTGAGCCAAAAGCCCCTGGTGGGAGTTGCATACTCTGATCCCCCCTGCAGCAGCTGTGTGACCCTGAGTGAGGGACCCTACCTCTCTGAGCCTCGATTCTTGACTGTAGAGAGGGGGGACCACCCCTTCCCCATGCGTCATTGGGATATGATGAGGAACCAAGCTAGCCCTTTGGTGGGTGTTGCCCGGGACCCTGTCCTCCACGCACCACGGTACCCACGCACCTTCTGAGGCCCTTTGTCCAGGGGCATCACCGGACCGCAGGGAGCTCCGCCAGCCTTGGCTTCTGCAGGGGTCCAGGGCCTCCTCCCTGGGCAGGGGCAGTGAGTTACCCTGAACACAGCCCAGAGCATCCTGGAGGAAGACAGAGCAAGTCAGGAGCCGTCAGTGTCCTGGCTGAAGAGTGCACTCCAAGCCCATCCCTGGGGGCCCCTCCCCAGCAGGGAGCTTGAGTCCCTTCCATAGGTGAGGAAACTGAGGCTCAGAGGGCAGAGAGCTCACAGCCTGGCAGCACAGCCCCGGCCTTGTGCTTTTGGTTCACCAGGCCAAACTGTCCCCTCTTAGCACTTGGACTCCTGTCCACAGATAACGAGGGCAGCGTTCAGTCCTTGGAGGAGTGTGTCTGTCCAGCCAAGAAGCACCCAGGTCCCCTAAATCAGGGTCATGGAGCAGACTGGTGCAGTCCATGGCCTGTTAGGACCTGGGCCATACAGCAGGAGGTGAGCAGCAGGTGAGCAGGCATTACTGCCTGAGGTCCGCCTCCTGTCAGGTCAGCAACGGCATTAGATTCTCGTAGAAGCGTGAACCCTATTGTGAACTGCAGAAGTGAGGGATCTAGATTGGGTGCTCCTTGTGAAAATCTAATGCCTGATGATCTGAGGTGGAACAGTTTCACCCTGAAACTATCCCCCCGCACCCACTGCCCATGGAAAAAGTGTCTTCCATGAAACCAGTCCCTGGTGCCAAAAAGGTTGAGGACTGCTGCCCTAAAGGGCACCAAAGGCTCCCAGCTCCACCCTTCCTGTGCAGGGGTCCAGAGCCTCCTCCCTGGGCGGGGGCAGTGAGTCACCCTGAACGCAGCCCGGGGCATCCTGGAAGAAGGCACCCTTCCTGTGCACGGGTTCTTTCCATGTCCTGCCCAGGGAGGAGGGTGTCTGCCCAGGGAATTTGGACCGTCCTGTCCTTCAACTGTCAATAAGCTCCAAATGCAACTGCCCGGTACTTTGGCAGCACCCTACCCCCTGGGCTTCTCCACAGCTTGGAGCTTCCCCAGCTGCCGCCCTCCTGCAGATCAGGATAATTCAGAGGCAGCTCCTTTCCCCCTGCCATGGGAGAGAGGCGTGGGACTGGCAAAACAAAACAAAACAAAACAAAAACAGCTGTCACCCACCACCCACGAGGGGCTGGGCACAGGTCTCCTCTGGGTTCCCACGGCCCTGGCTGCTTCCACTACGGTGCTCCAGCCCGGTGCTGTTGGCTGGCTCACCGACTACTCCACTGGACTGTGGGCTCCTTTAGGAAGAGAACTTGGCTTCATTTTGTCTGCACCCTCACCCGAACCTGTATACAGTAGGTGCTTAATAAATGTTTCATTATCGGGTGGACAGATAGAACCTGAGGAAAAGCAGATGTTTTAGATTTACGAGTGCAGTCATTCAGAAAACATTTATTAGGCTCCTACTGTGTGCCAGGTGTGACTCTCGGCCAGGAGGAAACAGAATTGAGCAGGTAAGTGCCCTGTCCCCTTCTCACTTGCTCCCGAGGTCCTCACCTTCCCTCAGCAGACCCAGCATCTGACTCCTGGCTGGTCCTCCCACCTCCTTCAGGTTCTTCTTGCAGCTACAGGAGACCTGCTGATCTGCCAGCCTCCCCTCGGCTCCCCTCTGGCTACAGGGTCAGCACGAATGCTGAAATCAGGTGCTGCTGCCCGTTTATGGGCTGTCATGGCTGCCTGGGCACCTTGTTCCCACCCCTGCAGCTTTGCACCAGCTTTCCCTCTCAGCAACCTGCTTGCCTGCCCCAGGGCATCCGTGCTCTCCCCGGTCTCTGCACCTTCCCGTGTGCTGTTCCCGCCACCTGGCTGGCACATCCTTCTTGGGAGGGGCCTCGATCGCTTGCTTGCTGCAGGCAAAGCTTTCTCTGCTTCTTGCTCCTGGCCCCTCCCTTCCACCCACCGCTCAGGCCCCTGCAATGGCACTAAAATGGAAACTGGACCCAGTTGCTCCCTGCTTCTCACCCTTCAACGCTTCCTGTTACACTGAAACCCCCTCCGGCCTCACTGCCCCTACCTCCACCCCGCTACCCCCACCCACGTCTGTGCTCCTGGAAGGGACTCTTCTCCCCACACCTCAGAGCCTTTGCACACTGTCTGGATCTTTCTTCCCACCCTCTGCCTGGTCAACCTCCTCCCCTTCTGGGACCTGCTTAAAGGCCAATCCTTAATGAGGCCTTCTTTAGCCTTCATCTCCTCCCACTCTGGCTTGCTGGCCTCCTGTTGATCTGTATGATGGTTTGGGTCCTGTCCATTTTCTTCTCATAGGCCAGGGACCTCAGCACTGGCCACATCATGGAGTCACCCAGAAGCTTTAAACAAGAAACTGTACAGGAGCCTCAACCCGAACCAATTAACCCAGAGGGCCCGGGCAGCGGCACCCTGTCCTGATGGCCACCTGCCTGCACCCAGAGGGCCTGGCTGACCGCTGCAGCTGTCCACGTTCTCACAGTCCCGTTCAGCTGTTTCCTGTCTTTATCCATTTGGTTCCCACTCAACCAGAATTGTGCACCTTGTCAGCTGCTTAAAATCATCATTGGAGTGAGAGGGAAAAGAGAAAATGAAAGAGAGAAAGAAGGCATCAAAAAAAGGAAGTGAAAGAATGTGAATGACGAAGGAAAAGGAGAGGGAATAGGATAGGGAAAGGAAGAGACGGAAATTCAAAGTGAAAGGAGGGAGACAGAGAAGTCGAAGGAAGAGGAAGGACTACATAAACAGAAAAAGGAGGAGGCTGGGGAGGCAGCGTGGAGGCCACTCCATAGCTCAGAAGGTAGAAATGGTTACTGGTGGTGTACTTTTTGGATTTTATTATCATATCCAGGCTGACTTCAATGCAATTCAACAACTGCTCGCTGAGAACCTACTATGTGGCAAGCCCTGTTCTGGAGCTGGGGACACAACCATGGATAAGCATACCTAGATCCCTGCATCGAGGAGGTGACATCCAGTGGAGACAGCCTAGAAGACAACGCTGTACTGAAACATTGCCCATTGTCTAGTTTACCCCTTCATGTCCCAACCGATGAAGGCAGTACTCAGAGAGGGTGAGTCACTTGTCCAAGGTCACACAGTAAGTCGATGGGAGAACAGGAGCAGAGCTCAGGTTTCTAAACTTGATCTGGAACTTTCTCCCTGCCTGCTCTATCAGTCCGTCCTACATTTCAACCCTCAAGAAAACATTTGCCTGTAACTTAGTCTGGACTCAGCTTTCATGTGCAATTATAAGCAAAAAAAGAAAAAAAGAAAATGAGGAATATCAGGACATCCAGGCATAAACACGAACGTGGTAGAGGTCCTTCTGGGCTTTTTCTATGCATAGACATTTTCCTAGGCGTAGACATTGTGTAAGTTCTATTTATACAAAATGTAAATTTTTACTTCATGAATTTTGCATTTAATGATATAGAAGGATCATTTCTCTACAGGATCTTCTGCAGTGTGGTTTTTATAGCAACCTAATATTCTCTGCTATAAGGGAGAAAGTTCCAGATCAAATCAATTCCCTTGTATTGGGCAGTCGACTTGTTTCGAATTTTTACCAACTGCAAGCAGAGCTGAGATACACGTGACTGTACATGACTCTTCTGTACCCTCCGATCACTTTTTGGATATATTCGTGGAAGTCAAATGGCTGAGACTCAGGCATAAACCTTTTTTTAAAGGCATTTAATACTTATTGGTTGACAGCTCTTCCAAAAGGATGTGTTCATTTACACTCCTGATAGCTCCAGCACCACATGGCTGCAGGCCCTTTCAACCTTCGACAAATGTTCTGAAGAAAATGAGATCCTGAGGTTTTTCTCATTGGCGTTATTTTTTAACTAATGGAGCTGACCATATTTTTTTTATAAGACCATTGGCCATTTTGTACTTCCTTTTATATTATTTGCATGTTCATCCCTTTTGCCTGTTTTATTTTTTGACATTATTAACACTTTTTTTTTTTTTTTAAAGCTCTCGCTTGCTGCTGGAGAAACAAATGTGTAATATGCCGTTCTGCACAAAAGCAAGCAGCGAGCAAGGCTGCCTGGAATTTCCCCAACAACCAAGAGATTCATGGAGCTGCCACCAGGGGTCACTCTACGCACACTGCCAGGGCACAGAGGCTGGCGGGATCATACAGTAATTCGTAAAGCCCCTGACATTGGATCGCGATCTCTGCTCTGGGATGACAGTGGACAAGGACTTTTTAAGAACCCGGCTTTTCATCTCTCTGCACGAGCATCTCTGGGACCCTCCAGGCCAGGCACAGCCCTGTGCCGACCTCTGCCATAGCATCACTGTAGTGTCATGGCTTGCAACTGTGTCTGTCTCCCCTATAAACTTTTGGAGGGCAAGATTCATGCCTGGCTCACTGCGCCTGGGATATGGCAGGTGCCCAGTGCACACTCACGGGAAAGCATTCAGACCCATCTGCAGATAAACCACGTTTGTCTTGCCAACTATGAATGGTTCTTATTTCCTGTTACCCTGAGCAGAAACCCTGTCCCCAAACTCCTCCCCAGGTCACAGTTTGTCCTTGCAGTGGCTCGTTCCTCTGGGGATCAAGGTTCCAAGTGACTTGCTCTAAAACATATGACCTCAGGAGGAAGCATATGACCCCAGGCAAGCTACAGGAATCCTCCAGACTGCAGGTTTGTGGACAGGGCACTGCCCCAGCTACCTTGCAGAGTCCATGAGTTTCTGTTTAGGAAAGTGCTTTGTGAATATGAAACAAACGAAACATTTTTATAATGACTGCCCTTGCTGTAGTTCACACCATGGCTCCCAGAGCACATCAGACATAGCCAAGGGGTCACTGCAGGTGGGGCCAAGCCTGTGCCTCCTTTCAGACGCTGCTGATTCCACTTCCTTGGACAAGTGACTTTACCTCCCTTCCTCAGTGTCCTCCTCTGCAAAATGAGAATCAATAATTCTACCACCTCATAAGCTTGTTGTGGGGAATGCAACACATTACCACGCTGGACAGGCAATAAGCACTCCAAAAACTGATGAAAGTCAGCTTCCGTGATGATTTTCTATCTGTGGCACACATCTCTGGGACTAGATCCTCGTCACCGTTTCCCCATTTCTATGCTTCACT